CACAATTGTTAGTGTATCATCACTCTTTCTTCTTTTTGTCTCAATTCATCAGATCACAACATGCTTGTCTTAATATAGTGAGAAAACGTGTTATTCTGTGCGTACTTGTACGAACGAGCCATGTTAGTCACTAGTTGCATCTTTGGCTGAGAGCTGATTGGCTGAGTGAGGGTGGTCCTCTGGTTTTACCTTCTGGAAAAGATTATCTCAAAATGTGACAGAGGCCTGAATGAAGAAAAGCGATTGATATGATAACACTGTTTTGAGAACTATAGGAAAATAATGTAAAGGATATGATAGGATCTATAATATATAGTTTGTTTTTGGTGTTTTGAAAAGTAGCTAACCCAGTTTTAATATATTGAAGCTGACAACATAGAAGTGAGCATTGAATCATGGTTATATTTGTTCCTTTGATATATTGAGCTGACTGTAAATGCATTTATACAATCAAACAGAAAAGTGACATAATAAATTAGATTTGTAGTCAGGGAATGCGATCGTCTCTTTAACATGATCAGAGCAAAACTACCTTCCCGAAGTGAAGACCTCAAAGTAATTTACTCAGTCGTATCAAATTCATAGATTTATAAATACAAAATAATTAACTTTGATTCTATTTTAATTCATTATGATTAAGAGATCCTTTATTCTTCCCACAGAGGGGAGATGTCAGTATTGTTCACAAGTTACAGAACAGGAGCAGACAGCACGAGATAAGTGAATTTATAGTACAGCACAGCTCTATAATTAAAAATTAAGATAAGATTAGATATGATAAAATAAGATTGATCTGACACTGGGGAAATGTACATGTCACACACGGCATAGATAGAATCCCTCAGATTTGTGCAAAAGTGTGTAAACGTGTTAAAGGTTAAATATGTCTGTTCAGGATATATTATGTACGAAATATGGAAATAAATAGTGCCAAAAGCAGTGCAAGTTTTTCAGTCCTGGTGCATTAGTGACTTAAAGTGACTCATTGTACAGTCTGACTGTGGTGGGGATAAACTGACTAGAACCCTCCTGTCCCTCACCTCCTCCAAAGAGTCCAGGCAGCATCCCAGTGAGCTGCTCCCTAGACTCTTCAATGTAAGTCTGTACGAGCGATTATAGGAGCAAAACGCTATCCATGAGCACTTCCCTACTGGGCATCATCGAGCTAGAGAGTTAGCATCTTCCATCTATATACAGTCTATGGATCTACCAAACTAGAGCCTGCACAGCTCTACCTCAGTTTTACAGATCTAAAGGCATCCAGCTCCTCTCAGGACAGAGCTCATGTTTGCCCAAAGTCTTTGAAATTCTCTGCCAAAAATACAGTAAAACAGAAAAAGCTGTTACTATAAGAGATAAGAATTCCTTTATTCGTCCCACAGTGGGGGCACCATGTTTAAAAATGCTGGGATTTTTTTTGTTGAAATCAGAAAAGAGACATGAACAAGAAGAAGTGAAACGGCTGTAGTCTAGAGAAATGATGGGAGCGACACAAAAAGGCCAGAGCATTTCACAGGCCTGGCCCCATGGTGTTTTAGCACTTACCTCATCCTCTTGACAATAAGGGGAGAGGGTTCAGGGCGGACGGTGGGACTGGAGCTGTCCTGGTCAGAGAGCACAACTGCAGGATGTCATAGCCTCGCACAGTGACAAATGCGCACACTAAGCACTGCAAGCATCACAAATACAATGTGACAGATTTACCCACCGAGATGACTCTAGGACCGAGAACAAATGCTTTTATTTTTGTCCCTCTGAGATAGATACGCATCACTAAACACAGCATTTCAGATTAGACCAAAAACAACATAAATATTCAAGAAGAATATATTTACTATTTCACTTTTTACTCTAACAAATATCTGTTCTTTCTACTCCATACATTCTTGAAGTGAGTCCTGCTTCTCTTGTTTCATTGTGGTTAGCCGTGGGTCTAAGTTCAGGTAACCATTACCCTTGTTTGGTTTATTGTCATATTCTGTGGCAGTATGACACATTTCTATAAAAGTATAATGTTTCAAAGGCATTGCTACAGGGATGTCAACGTCATTCTGTTCAGGGGCAGAATTTAAAACAGAAGTTTGCTTGACGCTCATCTTTTGCATCTGTGGATATTTTTTGACACAATCATTACTTTTATTTGACATGAGTTTGGTTATTATTGTCAGATATGTCCTGAATAGAATTTCAGTTACTGTTTTGTTTGGATTGAGCCAAAGCTGGATTAAAGAAAGAATACTGGTAAAGGAAGCTTGTTATTGTTAATGTTTTTATTTTTTATTTATTCAACTATTTGTTAATCACACGTTGGCTTCACATTTTAGATTAAGGATGTGGTTCTTCTGTTGATATAATTTGCTATAAAATTGATACAGGCCATGGTAGCATACACCCCTATTGTTATCATTGCTGCAAGTTAGTCATCAATCATGAATCCGGCCTTGTGTTTGACACTAAGTCGGAAATTAAATTGTCAGTCAAATAACGAACGAGAAATGTTTTCACTTTTTCATATGTTGACAATTCTTTACCAGAGTTGATTTTTATACTGGTACCTATACATATACCGAAACGTTGCTGATTAGATGCAAGGGATTATAATTCTTGATAGACAGCTAAGGCCCGTCTCCATTGGTCTAATTCATGTCCTCCAGCAAATCTTGATGGAGGAGGCTCTAGGAGACATCACCTTAAAGTACTAAGACTGGTACATTAGCCTCCTCTGCTATTGATTACATGAGACTGTTTATTTGAACGGACTGATGTGAATTTTGGAAGATGAAATTAAAATTAGCCCGGTTGCTACACAAGCCATACCTCCTGGGTGAGTGGATTAACAAAAGCCTTGAACACTGAGGATGGAAGGCCATGTGGTTCAAATCAGCTGCTATCATACATGTCAATCACCACTGTTGACTCAGCTGTGCAAGAAAGCATTTATGTTTATATTATAGCAACATAAAACCTTATTACAATGTCAAACCGCTCAAATGAATGATGTAATGGTGCGTGAGAAATGTTCATCTGTGAAGTTAACATTTACTGGCATCTAGTACATTCTTTTTAGTCAATTTCACTTTGTCATCACTCAATTTAATTTAATTTGCAAACTATCTCATGTTTGGCTAATCATATTGTGAGGAAACATGGCCTGGAAAGTTAAGAGAAATGTTTTTTTTTTTGCTTTGAGTTTTGGCTGCTGTATGACAGAGTATAATAATTTGATTTATTGTTTTTCCCCTCACGCCGAACAGCTGTACTGGGATGGATGTTATCGGATGTCATGTTGTATGGTTCACGTGGGCTGAGGAGATCCAGTGACACTCTGTAAGACCCCGAAAGGCAGACAGGAAGCCATTGGTTCAAATTGAGTGATAAAGTCTCCATGTTACGGTTAATGAAAAAAGAATGCCTTTTCTCAGAGCAATGACCTAAAAGGATCTGGCGTTCCAAATTAAATATGCAGTTATATGTTTGTTTTTTCAGCACACATACATGGATCCTAACTTCAAACTTTTAGGTTTCATTGAGTTTCACTTTGAGTTGCCATGTGTATGAACTGTGCTATACTAATAGACCTGCCTTGCCTTAACGATTTGAATGCTTAGCAAAATGTATACAGACATGGAAACAGTAATATTTTTTGGGAAAAAAACGTAAGCAGTTACATAGGAGTAGGCAAATCATTCTATTTTTTTCAATATAAATATTAAACTTTCAATTTATTTTGGTTTTTCAAATTTTGACAAACAAACAGGCTCAGGTGCAACAATATTTGGCAATTTTACATGTTGACAAATAAATAAAAAATAAAAAAAATTACAGGAAGGAAATATAGTAATGCCACAGTACTGGTCAAAATGACTTGTTTCAAGATGAGCCAGAAAACTAACACATGTTAGAAAAACTATGAATCGAACAGGACTGTAAGGAGCTCATCCTCTCCATATTTATCAATAACAGCATTTCAGAGAGCCACACTTTAAACGATGGAGAAGCAGAGGATTTCCAATCCCTTAGAATACGTTTTTTTGTCCATTGTCCCCAGTTCCAATGGTGTCTGCATTATAGCTGGAAAGTTCTTATTGTCCGAGTGTCCAAACATGGTAAGACATGGTTCAAGGGAAACATTTGTCCCGTATGCTTTGGAGTACCAGCTGAACACTTTTCCCCAAAAGCTATGCAGTGAGGAACAGGACCAGAAAGCATGCGCTAGGGTGCTCTCTGATGACTTACACCTGTCCAGGCAAATCCTTCTTAATTGTACCATCTGAAACACTCAAAAATGAAAATGTTAGCAACAAATCAGACCGATATCTTCATCTTACTAGAAAACATTATAAAATACTATAGTTTTTGTATTTGTAAGAAAAAGTCCTAGGAGTCACTTTTATACTATTTGAACTGAGCTGATTGGTTGCGTGATTTGTACTTTTCACAATTCTTGCCAAAAACTATGTTCTAAAGGTTTGACAAAGGCCAAAAATACAAGCATGTGAAAACAAGTGATAGAAGCTGAGAATGAGGGATTTTTTGTAAAAGTTAGGAACACCAGCTTTACTGTAATGTAGGCCATCTTCCGAAACTACATCCACTCATTATTATCCAGGGAGTGAAAGACATTTCCACAAGGCAAGCCGAAACGTGGGATCGGGTTCACGAAAACAAGACAAGACGAGATTTTGTTATGATTCACATCGTCAGAGCTGGGTTGAAAATAAAACCGGCATTATATTTTTAAAATGTCATAACCCAAATGTTCTCCCAAATGCTTCTTACGCCTGACTACATAACGGAAGCACATAAAACGACCTCCCGAACACACAATGAAGTTCTTATTTTGTAAACTGAGTCATACTTTTACTGCATTTTTTTATATTTTGGAAAATCTACCCCCCAAGGGCTCAGGCAAACGGAAGGAGTGCGGTTTTCATAAATTACAGAGCGGCTTGAATCCTGTTTTGTCTCTTTTCTAATTCTTGTTATTCTCGTTTCCATAGGCAACATCTTCGTGGTGAGCTTGTCTGTCGCTGACCTGGTGGTTGCGTTGTACCCTTACCCGCTGGTGCTGACCGCCATCTTCAACAATGACTGGACTATGGGGGATTTTCATTGCCAGGCCAGCGGTTTTATAATGGGACTGAGCGTGATTGGGTCCATCTTCAACATCACAGCTATCGCCATCAACCGCTACTGCTACATCTGCCACAGCCTGCACTACGACCGCCTGTACAGCCTCAGGAAGACCTGTTTTTACCTGGGCCTCACCTGGCTTCTCACCTGCATCGCCACCGTGCCAAATTTCTTCGTGGGGTCGCTTCAATACGACCCACGCATCTACTCGTGCACCTTTGCCCAAACCGTGAGCTCGTACTACACTATATCTGTAGTGATCATCCATTTTCTTATTCCAGTACTGGTGGTGTCTTACTGCTATTTGCGGATATGGGTGCTGGTGATCAAAGTCAAACACAGAGTGAAACCGGAGCAGAGGACCAAACCCAAACCCAGCGATGTGAAGAATTTCTTGACAATGTTCATGGTTTTTGTGTTGTTTGCCGTTTGCTGGGCGCCGCTGAACTTTATTGGTCTGGCGGTGGCTATAAACCCGAGCAAAGTTGCGCCTAATATACCTGAGTGGTTGTTTGTCACGAGTTACTTCATGGCGTATTTCAACAGCTGCCTGAACGCCGTCATATACGGTCTGCTGAACCAAAACTTCCGGAAAGAATACAAGACGATCCTCATGGCTTTGTGCGTGCCGCGGTTGTTGCTCGTGGAGACGTCCAGGTGTAACACGGAGGGCCTCAAGAGCAAGCCCTCTCCGGCTGTAACAAACAATAATGTAGCAGAAATGAATCTATAAAGTGTGCAATGCTCAATATAAAGTTGCTATAATATTATATTGTGTAATTGTATTTTTCTGTGTTTAATATTAGATCACGGCCAACGTCAAAGTGCTTTATATCAAGGATTCACATTCATTTACGTGCAGGAAGGGAAGTGTGTTAAGTGTCTTGCCAAAGGAAACGACAGCAGCTATAGTGCCTTGATTAAAGTATTCATATACCTCATGAACCTTTCCACATCTACACGACCACAAAGATAACCAGATTTTGTCAGAAATTTTGAGTGAAAGACCCACACTAAGTTGCAGACATTAGGGAAATGAAAAATTGTCTGAATTGTGAGGCGTAGAAAAGTATTCAGCCCCTTTAGATGTTAAGGAACTGCCTCTTGCTCCAATTACTGATTCAACTTTATTTTGTGGTAGCCTATATATGCTTCCATAAGCTTTTACTATTCTTCGTTGCAAAACAACACAAACTCTGTCAAATGAGTTGGGGGCCATTTGTGAATAGGCATTTTTTGTGTTTAGGGAAATTGTCCTGATGGAAGATAAAGCTTCGCTCCACAGCATGATGCTGCCCCCACTAGGCTTGACTGTGGGATGGTGTGATTAAAGTGATGAGCAGCTCTGCACTCCGGAACAGGGCGCACAGCAGCAATACACACTATCACAATCTGAACTAAAACTTTTATTTTGTATTAATTTATCGATTTATTTGATAGGGACAAGTGTACACAACATCAACATGTGAAACACTACAACATTTATAGCCAAGGCTAATTTGCAATGTCCATCCCTAGAAGCGCTTTTAACACAATTAAATACACATTTTAAATTGTTACATACACATTGTACAAAGGCAGGTGTCCCCCAACTCATTGATGATCACGCAACTGGTTTGTTTCAGAAAGTCACTCATTGCATTCTGACCCATTGTACTTGTTGTTAGTGGTAGGAAAAACTGGGGCACCTGGAGGAAACCTACACCGACACGTGGAAAACATGCAAACTCCACACAGAAAGGCGTGGAGTCCTGGAGGTGGAACTGAACCCAGGACCTTGTTGCTGTGAAAACAAGTGCTAACCAGTGTGTGCCACTGTGCCACACAGTTCACACAGTGGCACAGCGGTGAACAGAAACAACTTACCGTATCAAGACTAATGTTTCCGTTTGAAAAGATTTAATCTGGGGGAAAAACAGGCCCCACTTTGTTTTATAGAGTGGAAAGACATTTACAATATCAATAATACAGTGAAGCGCTCCATAGCAGTGCAGGAAAAGTAAATAAATTATAAACCATGTCAACACAGCTCATAATAATACAATTAGTGATAGAGTTATCCTCCATTAGGCTGGGTGTAATCCCTCAGTCATCCAAGGGTTGTCTGTTGTGGAGAGGGTTTATGTCGTTAGGATAGTGATATAACAGGTCACAAAATATATTCAAACTCAAAACACAAGGCGTTTAGCAACAGACACCCATACAATAAATAAATACACAATTCTAGTGGCTAACAATAGCAATAAAATGCAAAAGCACTTTAGGTCACAGCAGCAGAGGTGGTATGAACATTTTGAACACAATTTATGATTCAATTGGTCAAACGTCTGCTCTGACCACATAATTAATCATAAATTGTGTTCAAATTGTTACATTTGCGTTTTAGATTAATAATATCAAGATGGGGAAGGTGCCAATGGAAACAGGCCTAATAAACAGCACTTTTTCAGAGCAGTCATGTCCTCCTGCTCACAGCCTGGTGCAGGATTTGGCCCATGGCGGGTCTACACTCGACTACACGCCCTCTGAGTACAGACCATCAGACAAAGAGAGGAGCTTTGAGAATTACAGTACAACTCTGTGCTTAGGTTTCATGGATTATCTGCTATGACTGCCGCCACTTCTTTGTGCAAACAAAAGAACCCTTTAAAACCTTTTGATTATGATAAATCTATTGGACTAAATGTTCAAACTTCAGTCATATGACCTTGAATGATTAAAAGGAAAATAGATATCAATAAACAAAGCTCGCCTTCTTTTTTACAATATGCCTCAGAGAAAACGATGTGAATCTGGACGTAGATGCATTTGATCATGTAGTTCTAAAGCATATGTCATCCAAACTAAGATTAGCCCTGACAGTATAATGCAGCCGTGCAGTGGCTTTAAACACAGTTGCATGGATTATAACCTCCATATGCAGACCATCATTGCAAATATCAGTGGTTCATGTATTATACTTTTTACAAAGGAAAGTTACAAATGGTGTCACCCACACTATTTACTGTCAATAATCACAGAGCCCTGGCCTCACATGGCTCCATACAAAGTTCACTCCTGTAAGTAAGTAAGTAAGTAATGTTTATTTGTATAGCTCCTTTCGCAGACCAGGGTCACAAAGCACAATTAAAAACATACATAGAAAAATAGTGCACATACAAGTCAGTTAAAAAATATATATATACAGAATAGTCGTGAGCACACTTCAGATGGGCCCAGGTACAGTGAGGTGAGAAAGCCAAATAGGTCTTAAGTTGCGACTTGAAGTTGTCCACTAACAATGATCTGTGTGATGTGTTAGGTGTTAAGAACTGAGATCAAGTGGTGAGATGAAACTTTATTTCCGACAGCAGCCACCGTGACAAGTGCGGTTCAATCAGAATGGCAGAGTGGTGAGCCATCAGGGAGCCTAATGCTTGCATGACATGAGGTGATCCGCCTGCTGGTTGGAGCCAGTCACAGCTCCTCTATATTTACACAGAGGAATTTGAACTGCTCTTTCACATCACTGCATTTGCCATCACTGGAGTCTCACTGCAGGCCCACTGCAACAACAGAAAGACTTCTAATGGACTTGAGCATTTCGTTTATCGCTGCCAGTGTCCTCATGCATATGATGTGTTCTTACATGTCCCACAGGGTCTGGGTCAGAACTCTGCCAGGAGGTTTTGTGTGTCAGGATTAAAACACTGTGGGCACGGCAGAGGCACACATTATGTAGTGCTGATATTTTTAACAGTCATTAGCACCATGCTTGGGAGAAACAGAATCGTTAGGGTTGGACAAGCCCTGCTGAAGCTTCTACGTTTTATTACCATGTGTTCCATTGTGCTGGTTATTTATTGCAAGTTTCACTAAATCTGCCGTTACTAAAAACACACTTGTAAATGCTATTAAACTACATACAGTAGAGCTTATTATTTAACAAATGTACAGACTGTATTGACTGTGTGCAGAGACTTGGTCAAAACAACAGGTGTGGGACATGAGCACCACTGACACCATGGCTGACACATGGAATGTAAATCTGCTCTGGGACACGGGAACCCATGGTGAAGGACATAAGTCATACACACAATATCAAATGCACAAAAAAGAGTTTATCAGAACACGTTTGACTCAGTATTCACCCCGTCTTTCTGGGAGTGGGACTTTTCCTGGAGCTTGAAAGAAGAATCTGAAAACTTGTGCAGTCGCATCTTTTGAGCATCTCCAATTAGATTTCAAGAATGCAATTTTGATAAAAGAAAATTTTTGCTTTTATTTTTCATTTTTTTAAGTGATACAAAGACATACAAAAGTGACACATAGACATACCAAAGTGAAAGTGATTGGTACAAAAACATGGAAGCAGCGACAAAACATGGGGACATACAAAGAAATACAAATGTTGAGACAACATGAAACATTACCATATGGGAGGGAGGAGTGTGTGTGTGTGTGTGTGTGTGTGTGTTAGAGAAAGAGAGGAAAAAAAAAGAATTCTATCATCAAGATCATCAACACCAACCTTATTTAATCCGACATAAATTATGTTTTATGAGTTGATGAGTTATTTTTTTCGCAAAGCAAGGACATAAAGAATGAAAACCTACAAAACAACAAAAATACTAAAATGACAAAAAAAAGAACATAAATATTTTAGATCTATCTACCCACAGCACTGCTCCAGATGGTTATGGTAGCCTCCTTATTATTGTGGATACGTCAGAAATGTTGATGAATGTCACAACCTGCTGTCAGCGAGACAGAGGCAATGATCTTTTTGGCGTCCGCAAGCCCCGCCAAGAGAACCCTTTGTTTTGCACAAGGAGGTCACTTGGTTATTTAACTCAGAGGAACATTAAGATGAAACACATTTCAGTTTGTCTATCAGTACATTTTATAAAAAACGAAAACAAAAAAATAAAAGTGCCATTTAAATGAAGGGATTCAATTATGACATATTTTGAGAATGAAAGGTTTGAGTGAACAGACTCCTGTGAGTTATTCATGGTGGCTGTCTGGCCCCAGAGGCCAGTCACAGATGTGTGTCTTGGGGAACCTGCAGAGCGTGGGACCTGTTCAAGGAAGAAAAGCCAACTGGAGCAGAAGAGAGCACACGCTTCACACCTGCCAGAGAGATAGACAGCCTGCCTATGCAACAAGATGGATCAATAGGTACAGTATGTAGCCTCAACACAAGGGTAAGCATACAGAAAACTTGATTATAGAGAACATATACAGCATCATTTTTTTCTGGGAAGAATTGATTCACCATAACAAATATCAAAAGGTGGACTGTATTAATCCACTTAACATCTTTATGGAAAATAATGATATCAAACTTTTCTGTTTGATTGAAAATCATTTTTATTATCCATTTCCATCAACATTGGATTCAGCAGTGAATATAGCTCTGTTTGAGTCATATAACCTGGCTCCATAATGGATTCATCAATGACAAAAAAGTGTGATATTTTATTTTATCATATGACTTGGACCGTACGCGCGCTCTGATTGGCTGATTACCGGTCTGATATTTTCCCATCTCGGACCGTTACCATGACAATCGGTCCGCAGCGCTTATCACACAAAACCAAGCCGGACATGAACATACTTCACAAATATCTCAAAAGCATTGGTGAAGACACAGACGAGAATCATATAATAAAACATTTATTAACCTTGCTTGCTCGGTCTGTACAGAGAAATATCAGACTTTGGCCTTTTTGCACAGACCTCGCCACGGCTCGGTCTGATATTTCTCCATACAGACCTCGCGCTCGGTTAATAAGCCGTTAATATCTTAATATTGGCATAATTGATTACTTGAAATCTATAGATGGAACTATAACAGACCTAAAGGAAAATACACAAAATCATAGAAGATTAGGGGTACAAAACTCCCCTTCTTCCCCTTTTATCTATATGCATATTATGACCTCTGTCACATCTTTAGATCAGATTTTTCAGATAGAAAAACCAAAGAAAGAGGACCATCCTCACTCAGCCTATCAGTCCCAAAGTTGTGACTCACGGGACTATTTCTTACACGTTTTCAAACAAGTTAAAACTAGCATGTTGTCGTGTGATTTATTTACAACATTTTATCTTAACAAGCCTTCATGTTGGGACATAAAACAAGTTAAATTGGAATACTATAAAAACGTAATGATTTCTGAAAAATAGTGAGACAGAACCGCTGAAGAGCATAGCAAAGAAAAATATTTGTATTTTTTTATTTTTATTGAAGTTTAATAAAATAGTACTGATCTTTCAGTATAATCAGACAATAATTTACCAACACATGATGTATGCTGCGTGTAATAATAAACTCAGACGCTTCCCGATCACGTGAAAGCCCCATGACTTGTTCCCGGAAGCGCTCTGACACAAAAACCACGTTAGCACAACAACAGCTGTACTGCTACTTAGTCATTATATATCTGCTTTATTTATTAATATTTCAGAATGGACATGAACGTAAAATCATCTTTAGACGCCTCAACGGGACCACCACCTTACTCCAGAGGGTAATGATAAACAACTTAATCGATACTATTATGGATGCAGGATTAGCTACGTAGGCTAACTAGCATAGCATCGGTTGTGGATGAATGACCCAGATGGACTGGCGCCGCTTTACCTGACCAAACTACCACATCAATAAGCATCATGTCGTTTCTCAACACTAGCTTTTTGTTGTATTTATGTGTGAATTTTTGTCCTGATTTCTGATCGTATTGTTTGATTGTAGGAATGAGAGTTCCCTGGTCTCTGCCCTCAAGACACTGCTGTTTTTCACAATCCTAATGGTCACGCTGCCAATTGGACTGTACTTCGCTTCAAAGGCTTACATCTTTGAAGGTAAATTTGGTATTGCTTGTTTCTTTGTTTGGAGGACATGGGAACATCATAATCCTGTGTAATCTTTTATACATAACTAGATGAAACGACTAAGTAAGCCACCGTAGAATATTTTTTCTGCTTGGCTTTTCCACCGTATAACTTTGGGTTATTCAAAGTTGAACCAAAGAGTCTTTTGTTCTGCTAAATGAAGTGAATATGGCACTAATGGATGTCCGTTTAGATAACTAGCGTGTCCTTTCAGCCAGCAGTTGTGCAGGACATCTTTAGTTCCATCATATGTCTGGAATTATTATAATCACAATTCTTTGTATTGTCATTGTAAGTAAAAGGAAGTCACACTAGGAATTTGCTTTGGCTCGAGGCGCAAACACGTTGTAAGTAAATAGGTAAACCCATGCATAAAACAAATTTTCAAAACATTTCTTAAAACTACAATTGCACCAAGTAAAAACAATATACTGCTGGTGGAGTAGACATACAGTATTGCTGAATTTCATGTAATTTATCTCTTTATTTTCCAGGTTCAATGAAGATGTCCAGTTCCGACAGTTACTTCTATGCTGCCATCGTTGCTGTGCTTGCTGTGCATGTTGTGTTGGCACTATTTGTATATGTGGCCTGGAATGAAGGGGCGCCTAAGGAAAAGGGCAAACATGATTAAGACTGTTCTTATCAGCCAGAAGGAGACACATGGTATGGATCATGTAGCGTCCCTCAGTGGACCAGTGACTGTCCGGAGAGTTTCAAGGGCTGGTTTGTGTAGCCTTTAACTTGAGGGTTGAAGTGGCAGGCGTTGTCTTTGTTCGCTTCTGTGAAAATGTGCAAACCCTAAGTTATGTATGAAGACCTAGGGTTCATGCAAGTTAAAATTTTCACACAATTAAAACTGGGGTGCCTAACCTTTGCTTAATGTCTCTAATCGGTAAAACTAGTATGATCACTAGTTTAAATGTGTATGTATGGCCTCCAGGATAGCTTTAGATCTGATCTTTTCAGACGGATAAGTGAAAGAGATTACTACTCTTGCCCAGCCAATCAGTTCACAGCCACAATGCTCCTTCTAACAATTGGCAAAAGATAAAATCACAGCATGTTGTCTGATTTTTCCCTCTTTCTGTTGGCGCATACATGCATTTTGTTGTGGAAATGTTGGGTACCCCAGTTCTAAGACATGCACCAAATCTTTCTTTGAGTAACAACAAAGTTTTAACATTCATAGAAACATTCATCTGGACTTATCTGTGTTTTGGTGCAGTATGTGAAATAATTATACATAGTTACACTGGTTACTTAGACTGGGAAAAAAGCCAAGTTAAAGGTATATAGGAGGATTTTCTACTTCCGGGTGGATCGTCAAGACTATTGGTCCTCCCAACTGTCAATCATTCTGCTGATACGGCCTCGTCCAATAAGACCAGAGAGTTTCGTTCAAAAAGTGGAGAAGGCGGAACTTTCCTAAAAATTGGGAAAATCCTCCTATATACCTTTAAATAAAAAAATTCTGTTCCATTACAAACTAGGTTTACATTTACTCAGACTAATTTTATTAAGTAGTCATTGGATTTAAATCATTGAAAATGAGTGCAAAGAGCAACTTTGCATTTTAATACAATACAAAAAAACTAGACAATAAGAAATCAATTACAATACATTTGTAGTTTGAGGTTGAGGGATACTTTATTGTCCCTGTAGGAAACAAAATAACTTGGCTGTTAGCTTTGTTTTAAACGTGACTGTTTTTGTTAAAAAAAAAAAACGTTGTGTTGTCTTGTTAATTTATGTCATAAAGGTGATAAATTGCAAACATTTTATATAAAATATGAACAAAAACATGTTTGCTTCTTCATTTACACCAGTGACAGTGTATTGCCTCTAGTCCTGCATGTCTGCAATACAGTGCTGTAATGAAATATTCCTGCATCACGGACCAGATTTGCACAATTCCAAATGTTATTTTCTCCACCATCTGTTGAAGAATGTGGAATGTCCTTTTGGATGTGTTTTAGTTGCCCAAGACTGAATTGGTGAATATTTACTTTTGCTTATTTGAATTATAAAAGAGCAGGTAAATTAGTAAGAGTCACCTTAATTTCTTCCTTGTGTGTGGTCTTATAGTTATATTGTCCCAGTCCGGCTGATGCTCATACCTGAATAAGACTCTTGTCCCTCTGTATGAGTTCCTGTTCCTCTGTACGAGGTCTTGTTGTGTTTCTGAGCAGATTGATTAGTTTCGCAGTGGCAGCACACAGTCTGTTCTCATTCTCAACAACAGACAAACTGACAGATGCCAGGCTGTAATGGTGTTTTCTGCCTCACAAACTGTGTCAGCAGCTGATTTTCTTTCTTCTTTGTGCAAGTTTCTTTTCAACAACTCCCAGTATACACCAAACTGCTTCAGCGCTAATGGCTATACAACAACTTCAATGCAAAGGTTGCATATTAGTTAAAAAAAAACACACTTACCATGGTACAAATTTCATTTCGTAATAATTGACCGGAGTTTATGGAGGCCAGGCTAGGGGTTACTTGTCTTTTTTTTTTTTTTCAACTAAACTATGATCAAGGTTTTCATAAGAATTAAAATCTGAGTTCATTATTTGAGTTTAAATCTTTATTTATAAATAAATAAATACAGTTGACCAACAAGACAGCTATTATAGACAATATTAAATATATTACATACTAAAATTAATATAAATATATTTATATTGGGTATGATTGACAAACGCTTCTGAAGTTAATGTCAAAAAAACAAAGCTAATAAAAAAAATGTGAGTATCGAAGTCCCTTACAGAACAAGAGAGCCAACATTATATTTCAATTTGACAAAGTCAAACGGAAATCATTGTTTTCTATAGCGGCCAGCAGATGGCGCCCTTACCAAATGGACTGTGTTGAGACCACAGCTGCACAGGGGGGTGCGCGGTCCAAACTGGTCCAGAATTATATTTGAAATAACCGCATTATATCTATCCATTTTATTTGCTACATGCATAATACTTTGCTAGTGTGATCAAATAGTACAGCATTAATTGTGCACACTTTGAAGTTTCAAATGATTAATACTTTTAATTTAATTCTTCAGTGCGGGTTATCAGTTGGTGTCATGCTTTGGGTGTTGTGGCTTGAGAGGCTTGGGAACCCGTAAAAACGATTTCGATTTGAATAGTTTCTTGAGAAGAGTAAAGCATAAAGCATAAACTCGCTCTCATTAACCTACTGTTACAATTGCAGATTCTATGATAGCAACTGAATAAAAGTGTGGTGGGGGCCAGCAGCATAATTTAGAACTATCCATCCATCTATTTTCTTCCTCTTAATGCATTTCTGGGTCGGGAACCTGCAGACCCTCACTGATCCCCCTGCAGGTGGTGAGTCCACAGGAGGAATTTAGAACTAATTTCTCCATTATTTCTGGGTCAATTCACATCTTCTCATCTTATAAAAGGTGACAATATTCAAAATCACATACGAATAATATGGCAGTTTGCAAATCTAATCACTGCCTGACCTGAAATGAAAACATTTGGACATCTCCTTTATAATCATTTAATGTTTTAATATATATATTTTTTATTTCAGTTGTATTGGCACCTGCCCTCCAACTGAAATAGAATGTTACAACATGAACAAAGTAGTAAAACAAAGTAAGTTCTAAACCAACTTTGCTGATATTTCTTTAAAAGGTATTTTCAATTCATTTATTTTTGTAAATCACTGCAGCAGTCGTCTCAGAGGACTTCAAAGTAGTCGAACAGTTTAAACACAGTAAATGCAATGACATATGCTTAAATGTCAATATCCTTTTCATTTTCATTTTGATATATGTTTAGACCTAGATTTCTCCCCGAAAATTGTCAATAGCCAACATTTGGTGCAAGAAAAAGTTTTCTTTTGAGTTTCCTTGTGCATGAACTGTTCCATACCAACAAAAGAAGTCTGTAAAAGAATGGGGAGATATAATGCTGCTAATCGTATTGGAAGGTTCATCTTGTTTTCTTAGTAATGTTATTTTCTTGTCTGGTAAAAAAATAACTATACTATCTTACAATTATTTGGTATGAAAGAAGCACATTATTTAACTTTGCTGATGGACTGGCAGACAAGTTTGTTTAGAATCCGTTTCCCGACAAATGCAGTGAAATATGCGCTCTCTTCCATAACAGTCCAACATTTTGATACAGTTGAAATGTTTGGCACGGATAAGGAGGCTTGGATTTCAAAGCTCTGGACATTTACACATATCATTACTCACTGTTCTCACCTGCCAGCATTTAAAGTGTCACCTTTCCAGCAGACAGGATGACCACATGCATGTCGTAAACTATATGAACACTTTCTACTTTAGCTCTAGTTAAAAAAAGGAGATTCATGGGGCTACACATTTCATACAACAATGCCAACTATTTCATCATGTGTTTTATCATTTGTCTTCTCAAATCACAAAGGAGATGTAAAAATATACTGTTTTTGGAAGTGGCATGGAATGGACTGCATATAATTGGCATGTTGAGACAAGCGAGTCATGCCTCAAAATATTTCTGATTTGGTTTATCCCTTGCACAGGCATCTTTACAAGTTTGCGCAATAGACTGTAAATATTGTTGTAATACAGATGGAATAGAGGGAGAATTTTCTACCTACATTAAAGGGAAAAAAAAGTATTGATTGTACAATAGAAAAGGTTCCTTGCTGCTGCATTTTACATGGCTTTTTATCATGACATTTAAAAGTGTGGTTTGCTATTACTTTGTTAATTATTCAAATTGAACCAAAACTGGACCAAACATGATTCTATATTTAACTTCTAATCTTTAAACTTTAATCTTTAATCTTTAACTTCAATTACGTTGCTTTCCTGAGAACATAGATGCAAAACATGCTTCGGTATTCCATAACCAATGCTGCAAGTTAATAACTGAAAATCATGTTAGGTGCCCACTAATAATTGTCTCGCAGGCCGGATTTGGCCCACAATCAATATGGATCAATGGCTTCCACGCGTTACAGCATTTCCTACTCAACATACTACTGAAAAGAATGTTCCTAAATACATTCATAAACCAAAAATCAAAGACCGTATTCTTGTAATGTAGTAAGGAATTATCCACTTGTCTTGCATGTTCTCAAACTTACTATTAGCTTGTGTTTCCACTGTCTAAAGTTGCTGTAGTTAAGGCTGAAAGGTTTACTTCAGGCATACTGAGGTTTGGAATGACCAGACATATCAGAATATCCTTAACGGCAAACCAAATTTGACCGATTAATCTGGCTAATTGTAACAAGCAATACACGCAATGCAAACATTTAAACATGATTTGAAGACACGACAAACTCTTTAATAAAAACAATGAATTAAACTATCAACTGAGATTGGTGGTACATTTATATGAGGACAATGATTGTTGAAGTTATTTTACCCCATACTTGAGCAAACATTTCAATTACTTTCAAAAATGTCAAAACCCAAACCACAAGTATCTTTCACTGTTGACGATATAAAATAAAACATGTGAATTCACACATTTCTTTTGGATAAACATACTAGATTTTGTCAACATGTGTCAACCCCAACTATGTGAATGTTGAACTATGATATTGGACCACTTTGTTATTATAGTCAAGTACCAGTACACTTGTTTAAAGTGAAGATGAGTTACTTTTTTGAACGTACACGTCAGTTAAGACCAGAACTTTCTGAATGGACTGAATTAAAAACCTTGATACAGTTGAGGCCCATCACCATCGTCACAAAAGTTACTGGTGATGGTTCTGCGAAGGGAAGGACCCGCTTTATATATAATCCAAATGAAAACTACTCAATTCAAATGCTACGGCAAGGTCCTATGGTCAAAAATATATATTCCTATAAAAATGAAACAAAGCTGCAGATGTCACCATTAAAAGTAATAAGTACAATTTAACTTAAGACAAGTTTATTTCCTTTTACAAATAGTTATCAAAGTGCTGTACACACAACAAATGCGCAACACAAACATCTGAGCAACACTATTGTCCAATAAAAAGTGACAGAACGACTAAGACCAGTGCAATTTCTTTCTGAGGTTTCATCAGAGAAGATTAAGACCCCAAATAAGTTTTATTGCACAATGTTTATTTTCAAGTGAATCCTGTTATGTGACCTCGACTGCAAAAACACGTATTATTTCTTGTCAATGAGATCCAGTGCTTCCTTCTCTGATTTCACCATGCCTTTGTAACATGCATAGGTATTTACACTCCTGTTTACTAATGACACTGCCACTTATTTGAGCTTGGGGCAGCTTTTCTGACCTGCCCTCAACATTTGCTCCATTAAAATAGCTCAAAGAGGGACCACCCCATCACTGACGAGCGTACACGTTTCTTCATGTTCCATTAACCTCGGTAGCCAAGCCTGAGCCACCTTTAAACCAGCCCAGACATTCGACATGTGTGAATGCTTCCATACACCACATGATCCCTTCACAGCAATTTAAGACGCTGCCAGAGAAACGTATAACTTCTCATATCTTTAGATCGTCTATTCTGGTCTTGTTGCTGCTGTGTTTGGTGCTACGCCCTGGCCTAGCCTGCGTGGGCGACCCCGGGGCTGAACCTGTTCCCTTCTTGCCTTTCAGGTCGCATTCCTCTAATTTGCTGGTGCTGCTCCTCTCCACCGCCATGTTGTCCTTATTCTGCTTGTACGCAGTTTTGTTGTGGTAGGGATTGAACGAGGAGTCCGTGGCGTCTGTAATTGGGGAGGAAAGGGCGTAGCTTGGGGGGAACGCGGGCTGAACCGGAGCTTGCCCGCCGAAGTAGTCTTCGTAACTGGGGACGATCGGCACAGTGGTTTCACCGTGCTCTAGGCACATTTGTCGCAGCTCCTTGTTTCTCCTGTATGTGATTCCCTGGCGACACTTAGTGAATCCCAGGTGATAGATCTCTATGAGGTTGAGTAGAAGAGACACGCTGGCCACTCCCAGCATGAAAATGATGAAGATGGTTTTCTCCGTGGGCCTGGATATGTAGCAGTTCACGGTATTGGGGCAGGGCCATCGCTCACACGTGTACATAGGCTTCAATTCAAAGCCGTATAATAGGTACTGCGCTATAATAAAGCCCACTTCAAACAAAGTCTTGAAGATTACATTAAAGACGTATGTGCGCAGCAGCTCCCCCTGGATGCGCACTCGCCCCTTATCGTCTTTCACCAGCGGCTTTTTGTGCTTTGTATCCGAGAGGAGGGCCCGCTCGTCTGGATGGAGCAGCTGGATTAGCCTGTCTTTCTCCTTCTGCTTCTCCTCCATCCTCACCAGGTGAAGGATGTGTCCCAGGTAGACGAGGGTGGGCGTGGACACGAAGATGATCTGCAGCACCCAGAAGCGGATGTGCGAGATGGGGAAGGTGTAGTCGTAGCACACGTTCTGACAACCGGGCTGCTTAGTGTCGCAGGTGAAGCCGGACATCTCGTCTCCCCACACCTTCTCTGTGGCCGCGCTCAGGATGAGGATGCGAAAGATGAAGAGCACCGTGAGCCACACTTTGCCCACCACCGTTGAGTGCTCCTGGGCCTTCTCGAGGAGCTTCCCCAGCAGATTCCAGTCCCCCATGGCTCTGTGATTTCAAACCTGTACACCAAAATCAATCGAGACACAATAAAAATTGATATACGTGCACGATTTGTACAAACCTTCAAACCTACCCCTCAGACAATATATTAGTGTTCAAATATAATGCAATAGAAAGCAACCAGTGTATTGTGTTTTGAGAAGAGTAGTCGTTCCATCTAGACAGATTTAGATTTACTTCAGGAGGGTGTATATTTGGGAAGTGTAGACAAGAGGGAGCCAGCCTCACATCATGTCTCTGAACTTCTTGACTTCAGGGCCACAGCAACATGATCACCGAGCAGTGAAATAAAACATTGCCAGTCAAAAGGCACATAAAAATCCCCACATGTAATGAGGCATTAATACATAGATAATTGTTATGAGAGTTGTAACTGGATCTACTTTTGTCTAAGATGTTACTGCAATTTGAAAAAGTCTTTACAGAGATTGTCATCAGCGCTGATTGTTTTAATATTGCATTTGTGTTGCTCACCTGGTCAGCTGATACATCTCATGTGTTGAATCTCGCTGAGTCTCCCACTAGCCATGAGGCTGCCTCAGTCTGGACAGGCCTGAGAGTATAACAGGCCTTTGGGTAGCTGCTGTGCCCTTGGATGGACTGAAAAAGGAAAACTTCTGACCCCAGACTTGTTCACACGTTCAAATCCTTATAATGTATTCCTGAAAAACTTACAATCCAGAGGTAGCCAACCTACCTAGAACAGACCGGCTGCTCTGCCACTGACCACAACATGCAAGATGGTAGTTCAACTCTCGCCATGTCCGGGCCTGCCCTCCCCCATAGTTAATTTTGGCACAAGATACACTCATGTTCGCTGCCTGAGCCCCCACTTGCTTATTATTGAGTGACGGGGCTCCGAGCCAATGAAGATGACCGGTATATCTGTGCAACGTGAAGTGCTCAAACAAGTCTTATTATAGCACTTTGGTCTCTCCCATTAAAGAGGTGTGTACATGGGGGTCAGTGAATGGAAATGATTGGTCATCTGCACTGGGCTAGTTCAATGTATTGTAAATCATTAAGTATAAAATAGGACTTTCAGCAATTTCTAAGCAACTGCAACTTTTAATACAATTCATGGAGAACCACACAAAAATTTAAAATTCATATTGTGGAGTGCACATTTATAACCCTGACATGCCATTTGAAATATCTAAGCCACAGACAACGATTATCCCAGGTTCGTGAACTTCAGCAGCTATACAGTTTGTAGTTTTAGTGTGAGTCAACGCTACTGGGATAAATTCACGTTAAGAATCTCAAAAGGCAGAGCACCTTGCGTCCTTCTCTGTGGGACTCTTTTTAGTCACAGTGAACTTTGACTTGAGAGACTGATCTGTTATGAGATTTAGTTCATTTTGTTTATAAGATGACAATCTCTGGCTAATCCAGTGTGCCTCGGACTCATCCTTAGATCTGCAGAAGCAGCGCTTGCAGGCCCGTCCAATCAGATACAGCACCTCAGTTAGGTTGAGCAGCACGCACACTCCAGACACAGCCAGCATGAAGACTGTGAAAATAGTCTTTTCTGTGGGCCTGGAGACGAAACAGTCTACTGTGTTGGGACAGGGGTAGGAGTCACACTTCACCAAACGCACCATTTTAAAGTCAGGATAGATCAAGTAGAAGATGTAGAGGAAGGCTACTTCAAATAGTATTCTGAAGATGATGCTGATCATGTAGGTCCACCACAAAGCTCCAGTGATCTGAAACTTCTGGTTCTTGATGCGTTCAAGTTCCCGAGGGCTGCAGCGACCAGATCTCCTCAGGATCTTTTTGTCAATGTGTCGTCGGTGTGCCACATGCATGGCCACCAGCAGGGCTGGAGTAGACACCAGGATGAGCTGCAGTGCCCACAGTCTGATGTGGGATATGGGGAAGAACTGGTCGTAGCAGACGCTGTTGCAGCCAGGCTGCTGGGTGTTGCAGATAAAGCCAGATTTCTCATCGCCCCACACACTCTCTGCTGCAACTACCAGCACCAGGATTCGGAAAATGAAGATGACCGAAAGCCAAATACGTCCAATTCCTGTTGAGTGCCTATTTACGCCGCTGATAACGGCATAAAAGGAACCCCAATTCATTTTTGACTCCAGGTCTGAAAAAAAGATAGGTGAAAGTGAACATTGATTGTTCAGTATTTCCAAACAAGATCATCAATAGGCTCAAGATGCACCTTATCTAACTACAGTAGAGATTCACCTTAGACTTAGCCATTAGTGTAAGCAGGATAGTCAGTGCCAGATCTACACTGATAGCCATCATCTATTGCTCAAGCGTCTGGTTGTAGCCACAGTAAGGAACAGGAAAAGCAGCAAAGAGGCTGTATAAAAACTTGGGCGATGGCCTACCACCACGCACCGTCACAATACGCAACAGGTCAAAGCCAATTGCAGATCATTCAATAGGCCACGTGATATTCAGACTCTGTATTAATACTGTACTCCCAAACTGACCAACAACCCAGTTACAGACTGACAAACTGCCAGAAAATATTCCAAGGGTTTACCAAGAAGTCTTAGAACAAAACACCATTTTTTGCTCTCTGGCTAATAAGGCTCTTGACCTTAAAACAAAAGGTCTTTAACTTTGTAAAATATACAATCACACATACAAACAAATATGAAGCACTGCACTCACTATAGTCCAATGAAAGCATATAAGAGTAGAAAATGTTCAATTACCTTAGGCTTTGATGGTACACAATTATGTGTACAGTCTTCAGAGAAATTAAAATAGTTCTTTTTCTGTTTTAAAGGAGTGTCAAAGGGTTGGATTTAGAACTGCATGCGTTTGGAAAATGCTAATCATTCCTCCGCCACTAGCCACTGCCCTGCACCATAACAATCATATGCTCTTATATAAACAATTTACATACAATGGCCTCCTTTATTGAGCTGCAACAAGCCCCTTTACAATTCAGATCAAACGCCTCAATTTACGCCTACCCCGGGCAAAAGAAGAATCTGTGTGGACACAAAGGCTGAAGCCTGCCACATTATTTATTGTGCCTGACAGCCGGGCAGGGAGGGGAAGGACCGCTTTGACCTGCTGTCTCAGAAAACATCCCTCACACACACACACACACTAAACTATCAACCCCTTCACTAGCACACTTTTCCCACAATATTTTCACTACATTTGTCATATACTGCATAGGTCATTTCACATTACGTTCATAGGTTAATATTTATTTAAAATAGATTAATAATTGTCTTTTTTTTCCTCAATCAGGATGAATGGTACCAACTAGTTTCTGTGCTAACACAATGTAGCCGTTTGTCAGGGCCCGTCACATGACCTGCAGCAGAGTAATGTGCTGTGAGCCGTTCTGCGTCATTTAAGACAAATGTAGGAAGTGTGGGTGGCCAGTAATTTCCTCAATGGGACAAATCTTTCAATATGTACAATGAAAGAATCCACAAAATGCAACTTATTTTGTTCATTTTTATCTTTTTGTAGTGTTAATACAGAAACAAATTGCAAGCCTTGAAACCCGATTGTGAACATCATTTAACAAATATGTAAGTGGATGTTTTTAAATATATTATAAAAACATTTTACTCACGACACTTTTCTACTGTACAGATACTTGATAATTTTACTGATTTGGGTTAGGTACATCCACATCAAAAGATACAAGGAATCTTAACAGCAAGCGATGTGACTAAAATTGAAAAATTCAAGAGGAAAAGTTTATGGAATTTTTCAACACTACAGATATAATTGTAAAAAAATAAGACAAAAAATTTCTTCCAGGTATATCAAGAAAAACAAAAAAAACATGCCTTCTTCCTTTAGTTTGATTTAACCAAAACTTTTCTAAAACAAACGCATAAAAAAAACGCATTTTGTGTGGCAGCACACACATGTATAGCCAAAGGGGTAGAAGCTCTGGATCTGCTCGTGATTGGGCCCACTTCTCCACAGACAAGTTTTGAGAGCTTGTGTCCAATTCAATTTGGTAGTTATGCTGTAAAAGCAGTTCTTTGTGTCTGAAGGTTCATCTAGTGTAGTCCAGTAGAAATACTACTTTACTGGTTCTTGTTTGTCAACTGTGAATGTCAAACTCTGAATACTTGTTTGATGAAGAGAACCAGCTTGGATTGAATCCAATGAGGTGTTTTATCTGAATTGTATAAATAAATACCTTCTATAAAGTCATTTTTATAGCAATTTATTGTGTTGGATGGGTGACAGGGGTTTGGGTTTATACGAGCTTTTGCTTCATGCAACCTCTTTCCAACCATGTACTTGTTTATGTATGTGAAAATGTGATGCTACCACTAGTACTATTACTGCAACTACTACTTCTGTGGAATGACATCCATTTTAAATAGTTTTACGCTGATTGAGCCACCGTTTGGAATAAAGTGCAGCAGAATAAGTATTTTCTTACATTTTTGCTTGTCAACATCTATTTTCTGTGTACATTGGTTGCAACATCATATACAACAATGAAGTAAGATTATCAACATAAAAATATGGCCAAACTGGCATGAGCAAAATTGTACTACTGTTGACAGTATTTTGTGAAAAATCTAACCATCACAATCCATAAAAAGTTAAAACGTATGCACTGAAAAGGATGGACACACACACACACAAAATGAAATACTGTGAAAATGACATGTCCAAAGCAGTGACATGGGCTTCACCGATCGTCAACTACAACTCGGCTCCTTGTAAATTACTTTGAGTATAGCAAGAGATTAGATATTTTTCCCATTCCAAGTCCTTCGTCTTTTTGAGTTTCTTAAAACCTACAAAGCACAAATACAATTACTCATGCATATAGTGGAATAAGCGTTTGCCTTAGAGCAGGCATGTCCAAACTAAGGCTCAAAGGCCAAATGCAGCCCTCTGTCATTTTATCTGGCCCTCTGCTTTGCCAACAAAGTAACCATTGAGGCGCCTTTAACAGTGTGATCCAGCCACAAATGTAATCATGCCATGTTGTAAAGCTGAGAAGCGTTGGAATCAAGTCCTTAACTGTATTTGTATTTACTGACTTTTGTTTGCAATTATGTCGCAACATCCCATATAGAGTGCTAATGTAGCTGTGGGGCTAATCATTATACACTTTTTATACCACGGCTTCAAACAGCCTGAATCCAGTCAAAACGGGTTTTACAAATCAGGGAAGTCAGCCCTTAGACAAGTATGGATAACTTACTACAAAGTTTGGAAACCCCTGCCTTAGAGCATAAGGACTCACCAACACCTTTCTTCAGCTGGTCATGTTTCGAATGTCCATTCTGGGTGAGCCTCAGCGATAAGGATGCACCTCTCCTGCAATTTGCATTTGAAGAGAACAGATGTAAAAAGTGAAAAAAAAGGTAAGATCAATATGAAGTTTGCACATATTGATACACTTGAAATAGGTCTGTACAGAATAATCTTAATATTTACCTCTATACAATCGGGCTGTAACACATTCAGCATGAACAGTGTTGGGTAAGGACTATGACACATAGGTGGCAGTTAAACGTATCATTACAATCCGAATTACTGCTACATGTCCAAGTTCTATTCTCTGGGAACCACTGCCCTATAGTATTGGTCACTAAAGTGGGGGTTCCGACCCCGCACGGGACCCCATCGTGGGGGTTGCGAGATGCTTTCCAAAAAAATAAAAAATACAATTTTATAATATATATATATATATATATATATATATATATATATATATATATATATATATATGTGACAATTGATTTGATTCAATATAAATACTTGTTAAATGGTGTTTGGAGAAGACTGATAAATTTATAATAAATGTTTATTTCCCAGACATTAGGAGATTGACAGCGTCAATCAAAATCAAGTTACACACGGCAGGAAACGTGTCTTGCTGTTGTTTAACAACGTTATTTGGTCTTAGGAGGCTACAAATAATTTTTTTTCCTGCTTTAAAATGAAACTTAATATCCAAAACAGAAAAACCCAGAGGGGGAGAAAAGTTTATGTGCCAGAGGTCGATTGTGTGACGACTGTGGAAGAGGGAGGATCCAAGAGGGCAGCGGAGAACAGTGAGGGCGAGCAGCAAGAAATGCCCTCCTTCTCGCGGCAAAGCCAAGCCCATCACTTGTGCCTGGTTTACTCCAAAACAAGTACCCAGAAGAATTTATTAACTATGGATTTGTGTGTCAGGTCATAAACTGAGTAAAACATCCCCAGTGTGTAGTGTGATCTGCAGTCCTCGCTCACAAAAGTCTTAAGCCTGTATAAATGCAAAGACATCTGAACACTAAGCATCCCAATCTCGCTGCTAAACCTATCGAGTTTTTCCACAGAAAAGAGGGAGAGTTACGAGGGCAAAAGAAACTCCTCACTACACAAACAACAATCCCCGCTAAAGCTCAGAGGGCTTCCTATTAAGTGGCATATTTAATTGCACGGACTAAAAAGCCTCACACAATAGGTGAAACTTTAATCATGCCAGCGGCAATAGCCATGAGTCGCATTATGCATGGTGATAAACAAGCCGCGGAGCACGAACAGGTGCCGCTCTCAGACGGGACTGTTGGCTGCCGCATCAGTGACATGGCACTGGACATTGAACGTCAACTCATTTAAGCAGTGAAGGGAGGGAAGTATCCAATACCGCCCAGCTCCTTGTTTTTGTCAGGTACATTTTTGAGGGAAAGCTTTGTGAGGAAATGCTGTTTTGCGTGCAGCTGAAGGGAACGTGCACTGGCGAGGACATTTCAAAAAAAGAGGGTCTCTCTTGGAGCAAGTGCATGTCAGTGTGCACAGATGGTGCAGGTGCAATGCTCATAAAAAATAAGGATTTAAAAGCAGGAGTCCTGCAAGTGGCACCACATCATATTTACTCACTGTATCATACACAGAGAAGCCCTCTCTGACACTGACATGGCGGCACCGTGGTTGAGTGGATAGCACTCTTGCCTCTCAGCAAGACGGTCCTGGGTTCAAATCCCGGTCGGACCAGGGCCTTTCTGAGTGGAGTTTGCATGTTCTCCCCGTGTCTGCGTAGGTTTCCTCCGGGTACTCCGGTTTCCCCTACCACTAAAAATATGTCCAATAGTTCTGGCATGCGCCTCCTGTACTGTACTGGCGAACCCGCTCCCATCTCTGTGTGGAGTGAGAGACAAATGCCCAAAAATAACAATTGTAAACCGCTTTGAGACTCAGATCTGCAGTGAAAAGGCGGTATATAAATAAAGTTTACTTACTACTTACTTACTACATAGAAGTAAAAATGGCCAATCACATTAAATCACAACCACTTAGCAAGACTATTTTCAACTCTCTGCAATGAAATGGGGTCAGAGCACCAGGGCCTGCCGCTCCACACAGAAGTCCACTGGTTATCGCGGGGCAGCGTGCTGAGCCGTCTGTATGAGCTGTGTGATGAGGTGCGAATTTTCCTCACTAACCAAAGATCTCCTCTTGCACAGCACCTCACTGATCCTGGCTGGGTTACAGCAGCGCATTTATCATGGGTTATGGGCTAAAAACTTTGGGAACCCCTGCTGTAGGGTACAAAAGTGTGACAGCAGGCCACAAATATATTTCAATAATCAAAAGACATTAATGTTTTTCATTTATGTCGTTTTTCCACAGTGTCAGTTCAGTTCGGTACGGTACGGCGCACCTATTTTGCTTTTCCACTAGTGGATGGAATGGGAGATTTGAGTACTTTTCCGTACTGCCTCAGCCATGGTTCAATCCCCATGTTACCCGTGCCATGACGTCACGTCGGCCCACTGCCTTACACTGATTGGTCAACGAGTGTCGTCACTGGAAGCGGCATCTGACCCTTTGGGAAAAACAACTCAACCGCCATCTTTAAAACCGGCTGCTCTGCTCGGCTCTGCTTCGGCTACATTACGTCCTCCTCACTCCAGAGAAATGGAATTGCACAGAAAGCACCAAAAGTCCTGGTCGGTGGAAGAGGTCCACACGTTCCTCTCTTCAGGCCAAAGAAAGAATTCAAAAGGCAGCTCGAGGCTCAACACAGTTTTCAGGGAGATCACCCAGCTCTGGATTTGTGACTAGTCTGTGGTAATCCTGAAATAACTGGTTAGCTACGAACCCCCTAAAGCTCTCACTGAAATGTATTTACTGTGTAAATGCTCGATTGCCTGTTGTACACAGTGAGCTAGCTACATTTAGCTTCATTTAGCTATCGGTAGCAAGCTAAGCTAACGTCCTCCCTGTGCTACTGTGCTTTATCTCGTATTATCTGCAGTATTCATGTGTTGTCATTCTGTTTTGTGCTTGTATTAAAGTTGTTGTGTGTATATTTGTATGAGAATCTCTTCCCATAAGTATGGAGATTACCAACGAGTAATGAGTGACCGCAGTATTCTCATCTGGACCTGGTCTGGACCTGGTCTGGACCTGGTCTGGACCTGGTCTGGACCTGGTCTGGACCTGGTCTGGACCTGGTCTGGACCTGGTCTGGACCTGGTCTGGACCTGGTCTCTGACATACGTACATACGACTTTGTAAACTGTTGGTTTTGCACTTTACTTTTGTTTTTCAATAAATCTGTGATTGTATCCCGAGACTGTTTCATTCATTTATTATTATTGTAGCTGAGGTTTGGGTATCGATTGTTTGTCTGGTCTCGGTGTCTGCTGTAGTCCGGACCCGAGTCTGGACTAGCCTAGCTTAGCCTAGCTTAGCCGCTAACTCGCTACCCCTATGGCTGCAGCTGTCTCTCCCTCGGTCCTTTACTGCTCGAGTTGCCATATGACGAGTTTAAACCCTGGATCCTCCTCTGCTGGCAGTGATAGATGTGTTAAGTGTAGTATTGTAGTAGCTTTGGAATCCAGGGTTAGTGAGTGAGCTGAGTCTCGAGCTAGCGCTAGCATTAGCTTTAGCCTAGCAGTATCCTCGGACATGCAGCCCTCCTCCTCTGCTGCACAGGCTGCTGTTGCTACAGGTATGTCCCATTCAGATTGTACAGAGCAGTCAGCACCATTGACTTCACAGTGTCTGAGTCATTCTTTTAAGACATAAGCATTTTCAAAAACTACTCGTGCTGTGCTGAATTTTCTATTAAACACTTGCTCTGGTATTATAATAAATCCATGCACCGCACCAGTACTAGTTACGTGTCACACGTAAATGACGTGGTTTGACTACGCTGAGGACATACTAGGGGGTACTATTTTTGATGGAAAAGCACGCGAACTGGGCCATGGCGCGCCGTGTAGAGTCAAAACGTACCGTACTCGGACCGTGGAAAAACGGCATAAGCTATACAACTCTTCTGTTCATTAGTAGTTGCTAGAAGATAACTTTTATACACTGGTCAAATTTTCTATAGTGGCTCTGTTTTTTGTGTAATGGACAAGATGCCTTGGACGTAATGAGCTATGCAAAAGTTTGTTGTTACATATATTTAGATGTCCACATTTCATTAATACTTTTTTACACAGTAGAAACAAAGTGATTACTTTCATAGAAGAAACAAATTAAATGTGATAGACAATTATTTTTTCTCAAGTGTAATTTTTTAATTTTTTTAAATTACGGAAATTAAATTACCATTTTTCACGGGTCATTTAAATTTGCATTAATTATTTTTCTACAATTATTATTTTTTAAATCAAGTGTTTTATTTTGTGTTAGCTATGTTAATCTTTTTCCGAATGATGACCTTTTATTTTCTATGTTACTAGAGTCACAGTAGCCTTCTCAAATCAGAGGCTAATCTGTTTCTTTAAAATTTTGCCAAAAATGTATTTGTCAATCTTTTCTTTTGATTTCATCCAAAATATATTTTAGAAATCTCTTTTTCTGATCTATAAGACCGTGGAGATGATTGTGGACTTCAGGAAGAGCACAGTCCCCCCGCCCTCCCTGATGGACTCCCCCATCACCTCTGGAGTCATTTTGCTTCCTGGGCACCACCATCACCCAGGACCTCAAGTGGGAGCTGACCATCAGGGGGGCGACAGTAGCTCAGTTGGTAGAGCATTGGCCTTTGAGCCAGAGGGTCGGGGGTTTGAGCACGACTTTCACCATCGACTCCCACTGTCTGCTGTCGTTGTGTCCTTAGGTAAGACACTTTACCCCCATTGCCTAGAATGAGTCTGGTGAGTGTGTGTGAATGGTTGGTGGTGGTCGGAGGGGCCGATGGCACACACTGGTTGCCTCGCTTCTGTCAGTGTGCCCCAGGGCAGCTGTGGCTACAGTAGTAGTTTATCACCGCCGTGTATGGAGTGAAAGATAATGACACATGAAGTGTCTTTGAGTGTCCAAAAAAGCGCTATATAAAACCAATGCATTATTATTATTATAAACTTAAATGAAAATGATCTTTTATAATTGTACCTTTACTTGGACAAACTGCAAGGGGTGATTATAGTAGATCACATTGCTGCATGCTTTAGCGTATTGAACCAACAGCTCTTACTATAAAATGTTGATTTCTTTTTTCTGAGTGGTTGGCACTCCTCGTTGTGCCATCATCACTTATTTAATAGAAGTGAGTTTATAGCTCTTCCCCACTAACACACAATCTTAGCACATTTTAGATCGTAAAATACTTTATAGTAGTCTGCCCATTGCAGAATCAAATGAGCAACAGCAAACGGGAGTTTTACTTTTGAGCTTTATCACAAGATCAAGAAATAAATATTAACAATTTTCTTATGAGTTCCTTTCACTGTTTTGTTTAATGGATTTGTGTGAAATTTTTTTTTTAAATTTTGTGTCAATGCACAATGAACCACAATTGAAACAATTATAATGCAAAGCATACAATGCATCAATTGATTAAGTGGTAGTTCAATCAATTGTAAAAAGTGTTAGAAATAGAAATTGGCCAAAAACAAATATGTCTAAAATCAAGACAGCAGTGTCCAAAAATGTGTTTGATTTATCAGTAGTATAATGTATAAATCCCATATTCAGTTTGTGAATCTTACCTCATGGCTTGGATGTTCCCCTTTTCCAGGAAGAGCTCCACTGAGACCTTGTGCTCCTCGGGGTAAACTCTGGCGTAGAGAGTCCTCTTGTGCACCATGTCTCTGAACCAATCCACTGCTTCCTCAGACCAGTCTTGGCCATTCACAGGGGTCACCTAAAAGGATTTTCAACAAGAGAGGTTTCATTCAGGATAAGAGAGAACACTGTAAATAGTGTGGACAAGTAAAAAAAAAAAAAATCACTTTTTTTCTTAAAAGCATATTTGCTAAAACACTTCCACAGCAAAGACACAGTTGTGAAATTCTTGTTAAGAATTGAATTTATTTAGGAGTATGACCCAAATATTAATAAATGAAGGATTGATATGCAACATCTCACTTTGGGGTAATGAGTCTGGCATATGTTAGTTTCACATTATAATTGAAATGGTAAATCCTGTTATGTAGTCACTTAAGTAAATTCACTTTTGAATTTTCACCTGTACAATACTTAGATTTATGATTCCATGAGTAAAAACATAAAATGGCAGATTGACACTCGAGGCCGAGGTGCTGTGCGTGAGAGGTCGGAGGCCAATAACTTTAAAAGGTGTTTATCAAGATGTGGTTATTGGAGATTTCCCCACTGTGGGACAAAAAAAATTATTATCTCTTATTTCTTCTCTGCTTGTCACATGCGTCCATTCATTATTCTCTACAACAGGGTTCAGTGCTGACTGAGCGGCGCAGCGCAGTGCAGTGAGACATACGAAAAGTAGAGTGGAAGAGAAAGCACAAGAAGACTCATTTCAACTCTGATAAATGTATGTGCTTTTCTGAGGTAAAAAATAATCTAATATGATTAAAGAGAACTGTGTAAATCATTTTATTAATCCCCATGGACATAAAAAAAGTATTTATATATATCTAAATTCCACTTCTGCCACTGTGCTCCCAAAGGAGAGGAGTCTGATGAACAGAAGCATGAGGACAAATAGGACCAGTTATGTGCAGCGTCTGCTGGCTTTCTGTATGTGGAGTTTTCTGAAATTAGTCCATTGTGATTTTCCTCATCACAGCCCATAGTCAATTCAATTGAATATATTTTGGTACAGCCCAAAAATCTCAACAGCAGTCGTCTCGGAGGATAGTACAAAGTCAACAAACGGATCAGAGAATTATTAAAACCTCCAATACAATACAGATAAATCAGCGCAGATATCAGTCCAATTGAGATTTCATATTTTCACTATATCAACTTATATATAATTATTTTTTTAAATATGGAATCTATTAATACTTAATATTTGTATGAATGGATAACATTACATTTCTTGCCAATATTATGAATCTAGAACGTGACTGTAGTGGTGTCAAAAGGCTGTCAAAGCAGCTCATTTATTAACAGTGTTAGTTGAATAGTGCCCAAATAGGAGTAAGGAGAGTACACATCCTTTTATCAGCTGTTCCCAGGTAATAACATAACTCAAGTTATGGTTTTGCTTATGGGAAGAGCCTGCCTGATAAAGAGTGTTGCCAAACACCAAGAACTACCCCAGGTATATACAAGACATTTATGGGAATGGGGCCATGTTTAACCCAGAACAAAAACATTACCTTGTTCTGTAGTCACAATGTCCTGTCTTGTAAATGCATAGACGTATGATATAAACACTATACTCACATGTGCTAAAGAGACTTGTACAGCCTGAAGTGGCAGAACAGCCATTTCAGAAGTCATCTCTGTTATGTTAGACAAAGACAGACAGAAGGAGTCCCCATAGTCCAACCGTTTCACCTCCACAGTGATTGACATCTCCTCAGTACTGTTGACGTGATCTAGAGTGAAGTCAAGGCATGGAAGATGACCACACACAACCAAAGAAACACTGCCATCTAGAGGAGGAACTATGTGCCACTCCATTGAAAGCCCACCTTTATTTATTCCACATATCTTTGTCACCTGAGACCGGCACCATTGCTTCTGCTGGGAAAACCAGCCCATAACCTGTGTGCCAATGTCTGGAACACAGTTCTGTTCAGAAAATGACCTGCTTTCTTTCCGGGTGCTGCAAAAAGAAATATTGACAATCTTTATATGAGTTCAGAAAGCAAATGGGTGTAAACAATGATACAACAAACATACTCTGTGATAAGCCTCTGAAGTTTTTCTTCTGCATCTGCATGTTGTATGTAGAAGTTTCCAGGGTTGACAATATGGGTCACTTCAATTTCAATCTCTTCAAATCTCTTATTTCGAAACTCTGGTATAGCTATAGAATTTAATGCCTGTACTTTTACACTTGGGCCATCATATTTTAGTACTGCAGCATCAGCCCACTGTAGTGTGTCCCCAGGTGGCATCAAAGACATTTCGTCACTGGACACAGAGAAATTTTCAGATTCAATATCTGTAATGATGTCCCCTAGGTCCCACAGTTCAGTCTTGGTCGCAACGATGCATGTGTAGGTCAACGAGCCGCCGGAGTCCACACATTTGAGCTTGAAAAGAGGTGCATGGTTTTCAGTTTCAGAAAGGATACCGTGAGGCCATGCAGCATCTTCTTGTTTTTTCATGTTTGGGGGCGGAGACAATTCTAAGAAATAGTTACTGCTCTCCAGAACAAGGACATTGAGCACACCTGTGCTTTTAGCCTTGACCGCCCTTAGAAAACGCAGTAGTTGAGAAGATGTTTGCATTTGATGTTGCAGCTGGATGTCATCTTCACGTCCCCATTTCATCATGGGGACACCTACATAATGTCCAGTGTAGCCACCTTCTGGAGATCTTACAGGTATAGGTGGCAGCAGTAGTTTGTGAGCAGTAGCAGGTAGAAGCGCTTCCACATCCCCTACCCCCTCTTCTTTGTGGAATTCTGTGACTTGAACCATGCTGAATGTGTTAGTACCATCTGTATCCTTCTCTTGCACTTTCAATGAAGTAGTTTGGTTAAGGATTGTATGGTCCTTCTTGGGCCTTTTTCGTGGAATGACCAGATATTTAAAGCTCTGAAAATGCAGGCTGGCCCCAAGCACCTGAACAGCTCTGCCAAGAGATCTCATGATAAATGTGTTCTTCAAATTTGCACTGATGTTGTACGTTTCCTTTTCCTGCTTTGGTTGATCGTGAGACATTTTCCCATGTTTGTAAAAAATCTCTTGTGATGCTGCAAAACAGTGACAAGTTTGAGTGAAAAAGAAAATACTATTAGTTAAATAAAAGAGTAAAGAAAACTTACTGAATGACATGTTTCGCAGAGATTGAGACAACTTTTCAATAGCTTGACACTTTTCATCCAATGCTTCTAAAAGGCACTTGAAAGCACTGGTTGGGAAGGATGAATTTAAAAATTCTTGAACCTCTTGGTAAGCCTGTGTGTTTAAAACATTTAGAAACATAATGATTGTATAAACAATGGAACAAACAAAGTGGAAATATGGATAGCACTTGATTCAAAATTACCCACCACAACGATAAAAAGTACAGGAAAAATACCCTATATTGGAGTCTACAGGGGTCCAAATGACCCAAGACTGGTTAAGGGTTTGCTTGACATTAAATACAATTACATATAACATATGTATACAATTTATGCCAACACGTTTTTCTCCCTAAAATAATTAAATGCATTCAGAGAAATCTTATTGGAAAATTATATCATACATTATTTATCTACAGATTACTCCAATATCAAAATGGTAGCTGTAGCCCTTGATTTTTCACCAAAGAAACCGGCAACTGAAACACAGACTCATGCGATTCAGATCCTCCTTTAATCCTGGATAATCAGCTTGATAATAAATATTAATTAAATTTTACCTAAATAATGTGACCATTTTCTCCAATGATTTTTGGAATCAAGAATATATAAGCATGAACATTTTAATAGGAAAAGGCATGGTGATCTTGTGTTAAATTATAACACACTGCCCCCTTTAATAATTTGCATTAAGTGTTACATCGTATAATCAGCGAGCAGGGCAGGTAGGTGTCCGAGTTAACAACGCTCAATGGAGCAAATCTAGACCTTAGTGTGGAATGAAATTTGTAAAATAGTGTGGCAAGAACAGGCTAGTGGGGCTTTCAGACCGCCAACGCTGAAACGCGGAAATCCCGCTCACCAGACGCGCATTCTCTAGTTTTCAGACGCAGAGATCTTCACACCAGAACGTCCTGACGCGAGCTGGAAGTACCGGAAGTAGCTGGCCGGCTCTAATGCTAACAGAGCTATGCTAGCGGCTTCTTGTGTACAGATCTTCACCAATATGCAGCTTTGCAGCGTGTCTTTGAACAGAGACATTCCACGGGCTTTATACAACAGTAGTATGTGTTCACGTAGGTGCGCCATACGTTTTTTCATATTATTAAACGGAATTTCCGCATCGGCGAACACACTTGAAGCAGTTGCATAAGGTCACGGGAGCATGACAACGCATATTTTCACAAGCACAGAGTCCCCCATTGTCAACCCTGGTTTGAGTTCTGGTGAAGCCTGGTGTGGGTCCTGTTTTAGCTGTTTACGAGTATTTTCAGTCTGCTCGCTCAGTCCGCTAATGTCCCCGTGACCACTTTGCTGCTCTCTGATTGGTTGTCGCACAAACGTTGCAAGGAAAGGATGAGCAGAATCCATCTCCTGTGGGCGTTGATTTTTTGCTCCTGCTCCTCCCTTTTCACTTTCCCGCCAAGTCCGTGCGTCATTATTGAACAGTCCGTTCGTGCGTGCCGAGAGGTCCGTGCGTTGTGACGGTCGAACGCGCGCCACCATAGACTTTGCATTGAAACCCGACGCAACGCATGATCCGGTCTGAAAGCACCATAGCTCTGACGTACAGTAGAGACCAAAAGTTTGGACACACCTTCTCATTCAAAGTGTTTTATTTTTAGATTACACTGAAGACATCAAAACTATGAATTAACTCATGTGGAATTGTGACCATACTAAGAAAAAAAATATGAAACAACTGAAAACATTTGTCTTATATTCTAGGTTCTTCAAAGTAGCACCTTTTGCTCTGATTATTGCTTCACACACTCTTGGCATTCTCTTGATGAGCTTCAAGAGGTATTGACCTGAAATGGTCTTCCAACAGTCTTGAAGGAGTTCTCAGAGATGCTTAGCACTTATTGGCCCTTTTGCCTTCAATCTGTGGTCCAGCTCGCTCCAAAACCATCTGGTTTGGGTTCAAGTCCGGTGACTGTGGTGGCCAGGTCATCTGGCCCAGCACCCACCACTCTCTTCTTCTTTTTGGTCAAATAGCCCCTACACAGCCTGAGTGTGAATCTACGGTCAATAGGCATGAAAAGAAAGGAAACTCATTGAATGAGAAAGTGTGTCCAAACTTTTGGTCTGTACTGTACACACTTAGAAATATAAGGAAAAGGCAAACATCCATAACTAACTAATACATTAATATAAATACATTAGCGGTGGCATATTACACTTTTTGAGCAGCGAAACACCTGGGGTGACATCTATGACGGTTTCAACATCCTGTTGACACGCAGAAGCCCAATTTTTCTTTATTTAAAATGGTTCTTAGATGATGTCATCAAAACAGGGAAGACAACACACAATAGATATGCTGTTTGTTGTCAAAAAATGAATAAATAATAATACTAAAATCCAGGAGGTGATTCACAAATCGTGTGGCCGAACCACAGTTACACTAAACACATTAACATTGGTCGTTTTCATTAAACTGTCAAGTGGGCATAGAACAGATATACAAAAGTATTCGGCCCCCTTGAACCTTTCAACATTTCAACAGGCTTCAAACATAAAGATATAAAATTATTTATTTTTTGTCATGAATCAGCAACAAGTGGGACACAATCGTGAAGTGGAACGAAATTTATTGGATAATTTAAACTTTTTTAACAAATAAAAAACTGAAAAGTGGGGCGTGCAATATTATTCGGCCCCTTTACTTTCAGTGCAGCAAACTCAGTCCAGAAGTTCAGTGAGGATCTTTGAATGATCCAATGTTGTCCTAAATGACTGATGATGATAAATAGAATGCACCTGTGTGTAATCAAGTCTCCGTATTAATGCACCTGCTCTTTGATAGTCTCAGGGTTCTGTTTAAAGCACAGAGAGAACCATGAAGACAAAGGAACACACCAGGCAGGTCCGAGATACTGTTGGAGAAGTTTAGTCGGATTTGGATACAAAAAGATTTCCCAAGCTTTAAACATCTCAAAGAGCACTGTGCAAGCAATTATATTGAAATGGAAGGAGTATAAGACCACTGAAAATCTACCAAGACCCGGCCGTCCCTCAAAACTTTAATCTCAAACAAGGAGAAGACTGATCAGAGATGCAGCCAAGAGGCCCATGATCACTCTGGATGAACTGCAGATAACTACAGCTGAGGTGAGAGAGTCTGTCCATAGGACAACAATCAGTCGTGCACTGCACAAATCTGGCCTTTATGGAAGAGTGGCAAGAAGAAAGCCTTTTCTCAAAGATATCCATTAAAAGTCTTGTTTAACCCTATATGCCCGCGTGCATCGGCGCCGATGCACGCGCACATGTTTTACAAATGATCAATTTACTCGCGAACGGTAAAACGTAGCAACTTACTTTTTTTTTTCCTCTGTGAAGTACGTATTCAGGGCTTTCCGAAACTAGTTTTGATTTGTCTGTGCGATGCACGGAGGATAAACTACGTTTGTCTGAAAGTCTGTGTCCAAAGCGTGACCCGTGAGGTACAAACAGCTGTGAGATACAAACACACGGGGACTGCCAAAGATCGTCAGAGAGTGAGATGTCTCACTCCTCTGTCTGTGCTTGTTGTCCCACAGTTGAAACTACAGCTGCGATTGCAATAACCGGCTGAAGAGTGCGCATTATTGATAAAGACGATAATAAATACAGTAAAATTACATTATGTGTATATGATGTATATAAATATATGTATTATATAAATAATTGATGTTTTTTTTTTTGGCTCAGTTTCTTATGTTTTACGTTTTTTACAGCTGTACTACAGAAGCAACCCCAGCATTATAGACAAACTGCTTCAGGAAGGGCATCAGGAGTACAGAGTTTTTTGCTTTTATAGTGGAATTTTGTAAAAAGTATAAAAGTTAGAGATTCAATTTTTTTCCCCCATTATCCCCAAGACCATAAATAACATTTCTATGCAGTGTAAAAAGTTGTTTATAGCATTTCATTGTGTTTTTTCAATACATTTTTGTTAAATTGATTTTCCGTTTGATTTTTTTCTTTGTCTTCATGATTCCATAATTTTTATATAATTCATATGACAGCTTTACAATATGAATATTCTAAAACCCCAGGTTGTACTGAAAAAAACAAAGTATACTGCTTGACTCTGCATCAAAAGATGACTGTTTTATGAACAATTATACACAAAGAAAACCAGGCGAGGAAAGTTCCCCAAAATGAACCATGTGCATAGAGGGTTAAAGTTTGCCACAACCCACCTGGGAGACACATCAAACATGTGGAAGAAGGTGCTCTGGTCAGATGAAACCAAAATCGAACTTTTTGGCCACAATGCAAAACGATATGTTTGGCCTAAAAGCAACACAGCTCATCACCCTGAACACATCATCCCATTCCCCACTGTCAAACATGGTGGTGGCAGCATCATGGTTTGGGCCTGCTTTTCTTCAGCAGGGACAGGGAAGATAGCCAAAATTGATGGGAAGATGGATGGAGCCAAATACAGGACCATTCTGGAAAAAAACCTGTTGGAGTCTGCAAAAGACCTGAGACTGGGACGGAGATTTATCTTCCAACAGGACAATGATCCAAAACATAAAGCCAAATCTACAATGGAATGGTTCACAAATAGACGTATCCAGGTGTTAGAATGGCCAAGTCAAAGTCCAGAACTGAATCCAATCGAGAATCTGTGGAAAGAGCTGAAGACTGCTGTTCACAAACGCTCTCCATCCAACCTCACTGAGCTCGAGCTGTTTTGCAAGGAAGAATGAGCAAGAATTCCAGTCTCTCGATGTGCAAAACTGATAGAGACATAACCCAAGCGACTTGCAGCTGTAATTGCAGCAAAAGGTGGCGCTACAAAGTATTAGCGCAAGGGGGCCGAATAATATTGCACGCCCCACTTTTCAGTTTTTTATTTGTTAAAAATGTTTAACTTATGCAATAAATTTTGTTCCACTTCACAATTGTGTCCCACTTTTTGATTCTTGACAAAAATTTCATTTTTATATCTTTATGTTTGAAGCCTGAAATGTCGCAAAATGTTGAAAGGTTCAAGGGGGCCGAATACTTTCGCAAGGCACTGTATATGCACTTGGCCTGCTTGTTGATGTAATTATTATATAGTAGAATATATCATTATAATTCTAGCAAGTAGGTAGACTATGCTAATTCCATGAAGCCAGGCGTGCAAATTTAGAAGAATGCATTACAAGCATATTATTTTATAAGACATGCTTTCTCCAAACCCTTTTCTTTCAGACCGGTATTATTACGAAGGCATACCTGAAACGGGAGGCTTTCTTTGAACTTAGCATACTATTTCCAGCACTAGCATCTCAGAAAGTCTGTTCAGTGTGCGTTAGCCTACCATCCATCATGCCAATCCCCACAAGTCGGTGTTGTTTGTAAAATCTTACCTGGTTGCACCCATACACGCGCACACGCACACACACACTTGTAAATATCCACATTGTTGTCTGTCTTGTTATATTTGTCCATACGTCTGCACTTGTCTATTTTTTCACAATAAAACCATAAAAATAAAATAAATATATATTACCTTGTTGGCAAATTCATCCAACTCTTTGGTGAGTGCGCTACGGGCATTTTCCAGCAAAAACAATTTGTATATCAGCTGCACCTTCTGGGAGGTTCGGACCGAGACCTCGGAGTTTGACGGGAGAAGTTTCATGGTGCCACGTTGTCTGCTCGGCTAAACTAGCAAGTAGCTGTTAAGTCTAATAATCACACATTGCTGAGATGGGCACTATACGAAGATGATATGAATAGTAAATATCAGCCCCGGTTCGTCTGGTTGTTTCCTTTGAAGTTTTTATACTTTCACCATCACGGTTCCAAGGCTCTTCGTGTCCGGCGGAGAGACGACACCTTTATGAAAGCGCGGAAGTTCCTCACGTGGTGTCTTCCGTGTTACCTCCATGGAGACTTCCGGTTTGGATCAGCTCTCACCAAACTAGATCCATGCACGAAACACATCCATTGAAATGTGGTAATGACACGGTCTGCCTCATTGTTAATGAAAACTAATATTTAATAATGTTACGGAAAAATGAAAATAAATGAAATAAATGTAATTATTGGTTTATTTAAATGGAGCTGTGCACCATGTGTTCATTAAATATGACAGATTTAGCTATGAGGGCTAGTTTCCATCTGTAGTCCTATTTCAGGTTGATGTGACAAACAGAGCAAAAAAAATTAAAAGCCACATACAGACATGAAAAGCAGTTACTAAAATGGATCAAACGTTTAGAGGAAATCCTTTTATGAGCCAAGTTTTCTAATAAAGTGATGGATTATGGGTTGAGTTTTTTTTTAATGATGTATTCCTTCATATTCATTTTATTTTGTGCATGTATAGGGAAATGATAATTGACCAGAGTTTACGGATGACTAAGACAAACAAAAAGGTTGGATTTTTTTTATTGTCAAAGACTGTACAGTGAGGGCAAAAAACCGCATTTGTGCCACTTGCCCCATTCATTTAACAAGTGCCTTCTAGAGTCCACAGAGGCTAAACTAGGCTGGTCCAAAAGAAAATACTCCCCTAAGCATTGACGCACATCTGGAACTTTGGGCCAAGAGCATTGATGCACATCTGGAACGTCGGGCCAGGAGCCGGCTTTTGGACCATCATGTAAGGCCTTTTTTGAGAGAGAAAAAAAGACTCCATACAGAAGCATTGGGTAATGCTTATTCCGGGTCGACCCCATGGATCTATTATAATAATGTCGACCCCCAGCGGCTCTGTGTGGACCTTTTGGAGTTGGGACCCGCCCCCACTGGTCACACCTGCAAAGGTCTCATGGGGGTCCAGTACATAGAGGACTGCTGCTGACTCCAACATGGATGGTATAAAACAAAAGGAATGCTCCACTTTTTACCCCCGATGCATCTTTGAGAGGGAGAGCATTGCTGTGTAAATAGGAAGACTCAAAATACCAGACCTAATGCCCAGGAGAGTGGTTTATTATTCGACAGACACAATCTTATAGAAAGACCTTTTCTATCTGGGGAACATTTACAAAAAGGCCATTGGAGAGTCAAGAGGATTCTCTAGGACAGCTACCATCCTGCTCAGACTATCCACCCTTCTACCATCTGGGAGGCCCTATTAATTGTGGGTAAACTGGGATGACCATAAGGCCTTAAGCCTGCTGTTGAGACACAGCACTCTCCTGTATAAGTTTGCTGTAGTGATTGATAACATGATGTATGTATGTTGACAAATCTGCTGGAAATGACATAGTATTTTACTGCATTATATACTGTATACTTGTGGCATGTGTGTGACCAATACATTTGAAACTAATATGCTAAACCTTAGCATATTCGTCGTCATATATATCTTAGCATAACCTTAGCAACTTCAGGCCTGAAGGTCGTGTGTTCAATTCCCACCTCTACACCTTCTCCACCGACTCCCACTGATGACTGCTGTCGTTGTGTCCTTGGGCAAGACACTTAACCCCACTTTGCCCAAAGCCCCCACTGAAAGATCAAGGCTATGCTCACACTCAGAGAGGGTCAGTGAGGGGCTGATGCTATGAGACTTGGGTGGCATCTCTGATTGCCACCCCCCTGACCCAGAAATGGATTAAAGGGTAGAAAATGGATGGATGGATGCTAAACCTTTCCAGCACCTCAATATCTATCTATCTATTAATATACATAAAATCAATTCCATCAACGGACTGTGAAAAATACAGGTGTATCTGGAGGTTTCAGCTTGATACACTGGCCAAAATGTTGCACTTTGGAGCACTGCTCTATAATTTAGAGACCAAACCTGTTAAACATCCAGACATTCACCCCACAGATTGAACAAATCAGAGGCGTCCAAACACCAAGTAATAATCAAGAACTTGGACAACTGTGTTTTTCTTTGTTGAAATTGTATTTCCTCATAGTCAGAAGAGGTCCAAGGAATTATTATTGCGTTTCTTATGGGAAAAATACATGATTTACGAACACAAAATAAAGTTGTTTTGCAGGACACCAAATTAAGTGTTAGCTGTCTTTTCCAGATATACTTTTGGAGCTGATGAGTGTTTTACGTCTTAATAGTTTCACAAGCAGACAAGAGTGCAGGTTGTCCTTCCAGTGAAGAGATATTGTCATAGAACTCTTTTGGATTGCACTGCATCTCCATATTTCCTCTGAGAAAACAGAGCAATTTGAAGAAATATTTTTGCACTGCAATCCAAATAGCAGTTCCCGATCCAAGATGACTCCATCTCAAGCAATCATTGACTCTCTAATGCAAAATGTTACAATACTTCATTAACTATTTGTACCACTGTAAACATGACAAAATATTGCAAACAATTGCAATACATTGGTTAGGTGAATGGCGCCAATAAGTGGCGCAAATACAGATCCTGTCAGACCTCTGAAGTAGCAGGGTAGGGCCTGGTTAGTTCTGTACTGCAGTGAATCGTGAGGCAGCTGGAGCTGTTAAGTGCCAAATTGTCATTGTGTTCTTAGGCAAGAAGTGGTTGCCTCACTTCTTTCAGTTGGTAGTAGCATATCTCTGTGTAGTCAAAGAATAATGCTGTGTGAATACAGAGTGTCCAAAGAAAAGTGTTATGTAAAGCTGATGATGACATCACATTTTGATGACATTGATTTTCATGTAAGGTAAAGGTGCATTTTATTAATCCCCGTAGGGAAATTCAATCCTCTACATTTGACCCATCCTGATGCCACGAAGGCAGTGATCGCCGTAGTAACAGCGCCCAGGAACCCATTTCCAGATATTGATGCTCGGCTTGGTCAGGACTGCAGGAGCTGGAGGATTTAACCTAGTGAGCATGTTTTTAGTGGGAGGGGAAACCGGAGTACCAGGAGTAATACTCAGGCACAGGGAGAACATACAAACTCCATCCCTGATCCGACCAGGATTCGAACCCAGAACCTTCTTGATGAGAGGCGAGAGTGCTATCCACTCAGCCACCGAGTCTTTAGGTACAATCCACAGAAACAGTAATCACTTAAGACAGAACATGAAATATTTTAAATCCATCAATTCAATTTACAAAAGTATATTCCATTTTATGTACAATATGTACAAAGATTATATATATATATATATATATATATATATATATATATATATATATATATATATATATATATATATATATATATATATATATATATATATATATATATATATATATATATATATATATATATATATATATATAAATGTATAAAATCCTACATGGCTTTATCCACACAATCTAGAAAATAGCATCGTAACAAACATACAGTATCACTAATCTGCAGGGAGGCTTCTGTGCAAAATACATAGTGCTGTTGCTTTGTTCATTTTTAAATATTATTTTCAATCTAATTTTAATTACTATTTGAAAATTAAATGTGCTTTGGGATGTGATGGGGTCTGGGCCCCCCTCAATGCCATGGAGATGAGATTTCTTTGTTTGGAGAGTATCTTAGTATGATATAAACATGTTCATTATTTAATTGGAGAGGATTTTTACTGCTCAAAATTATGATATGCAGTATAGCATATACAAGCAAAACATCTTCAATTGCAGGTGATGGTAATGTAATTGCCTTGGTGTGTCTGTCTGTTTGTCTGTAGGAAGGATTGAATCTGGTGTGTAGATCAAATGTTATGGGAGGAAGTAATACAATGACTTATTTGGAGGGGTTTGCGTGCTCCAAGTGCATGTTCAAGTTTGTTTCCGTTTTATTGGCCGTTTTATCTTAACATCAAATATATTCTGATTATTATTATCTGATTCCCACAGTGACACATAGAAATTACAGGTAAAAAAATAAATATTCATTCATAATTCATTTTTTTTTTCAAAGGCTGGATCTGATGGCTTCAAGATTATGTAATCAGAAAGAAATACATACAAAGAAAAGCTTTATTTATTCTGATACAATTTACTAATTTGAGTATTGAGTCTTAAAAGATATCTTTTCAATAGAACAAGTCGATTTATTCTTATATTAAGCACAGTAGCATATTTCTTTCCAAGTGAGAAATTGTCTTTTATAGTTTAAGAACAAAAACATATTTTTGTTCCATTGTAAGTCTGCTTTATTGCTTAAAAGATAATCAAGATAAAGCATGTATAAACTAAAAGTTTAACCTTTATAAACCTGTAAAACTAAGGTTCACTTATCCTGAATTTTGTAGAAATTTTGTATTAGCCAATATATTCAAGTATTCTGTTTCTAATGTAATTCTCAAAACATTTCCTAATATATGCGTAATGTACATTTGTGTAACAAACAAATCTTGCAACCCTTCCAGAAATTGTTTTCCAGCAATAATTACAATGTTCAATAGATGTGTGTACTGTATTATATCTTAAACTTGTATCAAGGCTTAAGATTGTCAGTGGAACATCAGTTTTATCAGTACCAGTACATGATAGTGTTTTATCAAAGTACTATTTTTGTAGAAGTACATTTCCATAATGACAGGTCTGCACAGTCAATAATCCTTTGTCAGCAGTGTCTTTCCTTCTCAAAAAGAAAAGCTGTTTTAACAGAAAAAGTGACTATAAATAGAAACAGTTGCTTGATGACATGTGGCTCATCAAAGCCTTCTCCCCACACTTGATGGATGTCAGGAGGGACATAACAGTCTGTGTTGTCCCTTAAAAAACAGCTTTGAAACAAAGCTCAAGGCCCAAAGGACTTTGCTGCTGTCCTAACGCCACAGATTTAAATAATGTTAATTACAGAGTCACATGGGACAAGACTTGAGCTAGAGGTTGCTTTTCAACAGTTTTTAATCAACTCATCAATGCATAGTCTTTGGAGGAGGTGCTTTCAGTTATGTCCAGAAGATGGCGCTTCCCCCAGTCTGACACTTCCTAGGAATGTTGTGTGGTTGGTCATACTGATAAGTGTGTCTTCGTAGACAATGCGTATGGATATTCTCTGCCCAGCGCGCAGAAGGCTCACCCCGGCCGTGTAGCAGGTGTTGAACTTACGCTGACCTGTTTCGATGCTGCAGGTGCAGCGTAGAAAAGGATTGGAGTCCACCATCACTTCATAGCTGGCAATGTCAGTGAAATTGAGGTAGTACACCTGAAGGAACAATTACAAATCACAACTGTTTAAAATTCACTGCACCACTTATGGCCATGAGTGATAGACGGTCTAACTGTAGAAGTAGGACTTTTACATGCGCAGCAAGTACATTTAGCTTTGAACTATAGATTTAAAGAGTTACGTCAAGACCGTACTCACTTCTACCTGACTATAAATGAAGTAGACCCCATCCAGCAGCACCTCCAGCTCTCCAGAGCGAGAGTGCATTTTGAACACGCGGTGATGGATGGACACCATCTTCCAGTTTCTGAGGATGCCTTCAGAGAGATCTAAATATTTAACAACAAAAAGAGAAATACAGTCCACCTAAATGCCTCAGGACTAAAATGCAGGCATGCTGGTATGAATAACTATCAACACATTACGCAGAAATAATCTTTATGATTACTCATGTTTTGTTTTATACAGTTTAACTTGCATTCTTTTATTTCAAAAATGAATGTCAACAAGACTCACCTTCTCTCACTTGAATTGTGGTTTCCTGCCCTTGTAAGTGAACCACTGCAGCCTGAAAGACAATATTCCAGTTATCTCCAATAGTAGCACAAGGGACACCCTGAATGTCTAAAACATTATAGAGATAACAGATATACCTGGAACTCTTTTGTTTTAGACCTCGAGTCTGGAATTCCTGTAAAAATAAAGACATCATTTATCACAGATGAAATTACATGATTCAAACAAAACAAACATGAAATAGTTGGAGCATGGATCACTGTGTTCTCACAGTGTGTTTGACATCTGCATCAGAAATCTCTAAAGCAATGAGTTCATCGATTTTGACAACTTGAGAGCCGCTCTAGTGTGGGAACGTGTCTCCATGTACTGTAATCTAAGGAGTCATCTCTGAACTTGTAGCTGTTTTAACTTCTCTGGCTTGTGAAGCGTTTTGGCTATACAAAGCAAAGGAAGGTTTCTCACCCATCATCTGTACTTCTTAGCAAGTTTTCCCGACGTTTCGTCCTCAACCTGGGGACTTCTTCAGGGAATGAATTCTCGGACCGCGCGTTGGAGATTTATAACCTATGGGTGTGGTAAGCCACACCCTAATCCTGTATCAGGATGGCTTACCACACCCATAGGTTATAAATCTCCAACGCGCGGTCCGAGAATTCATTCCCTGAAGAAGTCCCCAGGTTGAGGACGAAACGTCGGGAAAACTTGCTAAGAAGTACAGATGATGGGTGAGAAACCTTCCTTTGCTTTGACTAATCCCTGTACGACTGAGGGCTTACACAAACTTTTGGCTATACAACTACAGAGATGGTGTCATTTCTATTTTGATGTAGGTACCTGCTGGGCCCTGTGCGCCCGGAGGTCCCTGTGGTCCTGGAGGTCCAGGAGGCCCGGCAGGCCCCATCACGTTACTCCCTGGAAACCCAGGTATCCCAGGGATGCCCGGTGGCCCCTGTGGGCCAGGGGGGCCAGGAGGGCCAGGGGGTCCTGGCACAGGCCTTTTTCTTCCTGTAAATATGAATCAATGTGTTACATTATATGAAATGATGTAGTAGCACAGGCACACAGCTGTGATGATAACCACAAATGCACCTTATTTATCATCACAGCCTCAAAAGTCAAGTGACAATCATATCATATTATTCTTTTGCATGCGTTAAAAAAGAGAGCACCTGAGTGAGGGTACTCAGCCTTTCAGATTTCAGTATTTGTTACAGTGGGGGAGGGTCCCAGCGTGAAAGTGGCCAAAATGACGTGCGCTGACATGCTTGCAATATCCCCCCGGGCCGATGGGGGTGGACCCAGAAGTAGAATCAGCCAATGCTAACATATAGCATTGGCAGACCTCTCAAAAACGTCTTTACAGGATGGACCAAAAGTTGGCTCTTGGCCCAAAGCTCCGTTCCACATGTGTGTCAATGCTGAGGGGGGTGGATTTTTTTGGTCCACTCTAATTTACTCGCTGTGAATTTTTGAAGTCTCTCGTTCAAATGAATGGAGTTGCGCTGGCTGACGCATGCGCAGATGCGTTTTTTCACAATTTTCTTGTGGGCGGGACCACTCGCGGCCATTTTGGATTGCTCCAGTAGAGCACATTTTTTGGCCCATTAGTTAGAACGGCGGAGATAGGCATGACTCTGTCCGTTAATATATACAGTCTATGGTTTGTTAACAAAAAGCTACTTTTACAAGAGCCTTTCTGATAAGTCAGTCAACTTTTCAAGTTATTTCAACTATTTTATCACTACATGATGTTTATTTTATAGAAAAATGTACCTTAAAATGTAGTAAAATACATAAAGTACTAAGATTAAGGATGATTTCAGACGGATCATTGAGGGAAGATACTGGCCTGCAAGCAGGATAAAAAAAGTCTCCAAAAGATGTATGAAATCACATCTAAAAGGACTGGAACAAATGAATGTACAAAAACAAAGATGTAACTAGAACAGCCCTCGTAGGGTGCAGACATCTGCCAAGTTCCATTCTGTGATCTGGGTCACCTCCAAAATATAATCAGTTTTCCCTTGTCACATTTCCAAGCTTTACTGAACATTTTGTAAAAATCTGCCCATAACCTCTTGTGTTGTGTTGCAAACTAACTGACAGACAGAGAAACCCGGGTGATTACAGGTTTATTCAAGTAGATTCAGTAAATCATATGAACTACCTTTTTTCTTCTCTCGTCTTTTTTCTTTACCCGAAGAATCTGTAACAAAAATAGTAAATGTGTGAAATAATCAACAATGATCCAAGAGAAACTTTCGAGCAAATTCACTGGCTGCATCATAGAAAAGGCAAACATAACTGAGGATGTGTTTGTGCAGTGGACTGAAGGTACTGTATGGCAGTCTGTGGTATTTTCTAGTGTAGTAATTTGTAAGTGCGGTTTCACCTCCTCTGTATGAACAAGTGCCTTAAGCATTCACAGGCAGTGGAACTGGAGAAGATCATTAGAGAGATACTTTATCCTGCCAAAATCCTTTTCTTTGAATTAAGCCCAGATGGAGAATGCAGATGAAAGTGTGTACATGTGTGTGTGTGTGTGTATCTTCTTACAGACACACACACTTGTGTGTGATCTTGCGCAGTCTTTATAGGGCATCTATGTCCATGTATGACACAGAAACACCACGGCTCTGCCGCTCGAGCCGTCTCACTCTTCTTGTGTTCACTGTGTCATTACAACTACAAAGGCCATTTAACCTTAAAACCTCACAGTTTGAGTCCCCTGTAACATATGGCTAGTGTTTTTCCCCTGGCTAAATGACTGGATGCATCCGTAAAGATTTGTCTTAACGAGCAGTATCTCCAATCTGGTGCCCGTTATGAGTGCCACAAACTGACACACATACACACACATACACACACACACACACACACACACACACACACACACACTATACATGTGCACATGTGAGGCTGAGATTACAAAAGCCTTTGTCTGTGGCTTAGAGTAGAAGAGAGACCTGGGAATGATTAGTGTTTAGAGGCTCAGGACTTTACTGATTTATGTAGAAAGTCTCAAAGGTGAGTTTTTTCTTCTAATTTAAACACAATCACTACACAACCCCCCCCCCCCAAGTATTCAGTGTCACGCCACAGACTGGAATGCCTTGTGATCATGCTGCACTTGTTGCACTCAGACATTGACTTCAAAGGCATAGCTTTATTTGCATAGCTTACATTCTAAACAAAAAACTACAAAAGCCTACTCAAACGTACTGAGCAGATGGTTTTGTCTAAAATAACTATTGATTATGATGAATCAGGCCAGTTAATGAAAGCCATAGAGTCCCATGACGAGGTTTCCCAGCAGGTTGTTTCAAAGTTTAGAGCTTGTATTTGCAGCTCCAGTCTGTTGTTTGTCTGCTTCAAATTGGTAATACACAAGATAAAGATATTGCTTTTCAATCCAACTAGTAATTATTCCCATTCTATTCCCTTTTTGTAAACATGTCTACAACAGTGTGGTCAAGGTGCTTTACTTTGTCTTGTAACTGCGATGAAAATGACTAATGTGCAAAACAAATTGTTTTCAATATATAAAGTCTGTAAGAATTACTGTTAACACAGCACTAAATCTTTTTCAAATCAATAAGAGCTGAGGACATTGCTCAAGAAAAGACACGCTATTGGCACAGAGAGGCTGAACACTGTGATGCAGGTGCTGACTCTTGACTGAAAGTGTAAAAAATCAAAGGCCTGAGTTTGTCTGTGGCTCATGATCAGTGAGGACTGAGAACGTACCTGCGTCTAACTGCTTTCCCGGACTTCTCTTCGAGCGCTGCGTAATTCCTCTGTGGCCTTCTTTTTCAAGGAAGTCACCATTTCCATGTTGTAGTTTTTTCTGGGAAAACAGGGAAAACAAATAATGGTTTGTTAATATAGTAATAAAGTCATTATTTGGTCTCAGTAATTATATCAATCCTTTTCTAACAACAAAATATATGGGTATTTGGAGGTTGTCATTGGTCAGATGGACAGACGCACATGCACATTATAATACATCGTTTTAGTGCTTTTGGGGATACTCAAAGAAACTTAACATTGCATAATTAATTCACTGTGTAGCTATAGTGGTCAGCTACTACTGTAGCCACAGCTGCCCTGGGATAGCCTGACCAGCCAGAGCAATACCTCTTTACTAAGAATATATAAGCATTTTAAAATACCTGCATTTGAACATGTATGTTAATGTACAAGCCTGGCTGGTCGGACACGACTACTTCATGTACTACTTGAAGTATAGAATAGGGTTCTCCAACCTGTAACTCGGGAGCTACAGTACCTCATCACCTCCTTCCAGACTGTATTTTTAGTTTTAGTGTTAAATGCAAGACATTCTGCTCAGTGCCAGACGATTGCAAGTAATTTTACTGTTTTAATGATATAATGAAAATTAAATGAAAATTATATACTTACCTTGGCCTGTCACAATAGTTATCATAATGATTAATTATTCAATTGATAGAACATTCTACAACTCATGTATACAATTGTTTATTTGTGTATTTTATTTGCACTACTTAAACATGACACAAAGTCCATCAACATTTGTTAGCATGACAGGTCTACCTACAACTATTGTAAATGAGCCTGATCGTGAACTCTACGATGATGAGCATTATTTTCTGCAGGACTGCTGCAGTAGTTGTTGTGTTAATAATATGACATATTTCAACATAGCAGATTCCTGACTTTGTGTCAGTTTAATGGAAATGTGGTTGTGTCTCCACAACAAGAAGTGAAATACTTCAGACAGTAGAACATTGCATTGCCAAGTCATTGTCTGCACTATTGCTAGTGTAACTTATCCTGTAACAGAAGTCACTTTTGTTTCGTAGTCAGACAGTCACCTGGACGTGTCTGCTCTAAAATTGACCTTTTCAAACAAAAGGAACAGGTTACTTTGCTTAATTTGAGAGCTATTCATATTCCTGTGGTAACTGGTTCCAGTCCAGATCAGGGTTTTGTGGGTAAGAGGACAAAGAAGAGGATATGGCGACCGTGGTCAGAAAGCAGAAAATATGTTCTCAAGTGGTGGGGGATGCTCCCATGGGTCAGTGAGGAGCGGGACAAACCACGCTGCTGATGCTCTACTTGTCCTATATTAACATACTCAGCGACATGCAGACAAGAAACCGCCATATTTGGCTTCTCATGTAGCCTGGCCTTAGCCATCCGTACACTCCGCAAACACTCTGCTCCCTGTGTTTGCGATTACATCGATACAATTCCATCCGACCAATCAGCGAGTGCGGGAGGCGGGTGTTGTAGTTAGATGTGGGTGACGTCAAGAGTTTGCGCCGGACGGGCAGGTTGTGGTTTGGCAATAGCAAAGAATGCGATAGTAAAGTATTAAGTTCTGGTTCTATCAAGAAATTGAAGCCGGAGCAAGAGGAATGTTTAGCAAATGTCATTGCTGGCAAAGATTGTGGCGCTACTCCCCACGGGCTGCGTTAGCGGCAAAGGAGATGGCTAGGCTAAAGGCTAAATGCTAACAACAGACTCGGGCGCACTACATACGTCACGGTAAACTCAGATCCAATCATTTCAATCTGCAAAAGGAGTTAACCCCTCCCACCTGTTAACAAAGCTCAATGGAGCAAATCCAGACCTTAGTACGAAATGTAATTTGTACTATGGTGTGGTACGACCAGGCTACTTCTCATGTAGATGTATTGAATTTCCAGCACATGCATGCATTCTTTTAGGGATGAATAAAACTGAACAAAATCATTTAAAAAAATGCATTTTGCTGAATTTTAGAAAACAACCATGCTGGGGCATATCACAGTGTCTTCATTGTCCCATCCTATTCCTAATATTTGAAATGAATTAATATTTTCCAAATTGAAAATGAGGAAAATGTTAGGGGTAGTAAATCGCAGCTCAGTAAACTACTGAACCAGAGCGAAAAAACAGTTTATTTTATTTTGTAGGGACCACTGCACTCGACAAAGCCACTGCACATAACTTTTTTCTTTTGTCATATGTGATTAACAGACGATTTGGCAGCATTGCACTGGCATATTGACTTAAAAAAAAAAAAAGCAAAACAAATAATAAAGTTCTCTTCTCTTATTCAGTAAATGGGAAGATCCATATGTCGGACTTTACAAACGGTTTTAATAATAATAATACATCAGTTTTATATAGCGCTTTTCAAGAACTCAAAGACGCTTCACAAGTTCATGGCACAAACACACACATTATAAATATTTATTATAAATATGATATATATTATTATAATTATTAATATTATATATTTTTTTTATAATAAGAGTGATATGATCATATAGCCACAATATAGCATGGCACATCTTCTTGAATACAGGACTAGATGAGTAATCCAAGATTCAACCATAACAAATGTAGAAATAAAAAAAGCAGTTGATTTGATCAGGTCGGCTTTCCAAAGAACCAAATCAACTCTAAATCAAGCATCACATTCTATCACCAACAATGTTCAAAACTGCATGCAAATCCATTCTGGTTATTTTTCCATCCACAGAATATGATTTGACAGAGAAACTCAGCACTTAAAAGAAAACGACCACCCAAATACTTCTTTCTGTCATGCTCTGCTATATTGGAGATCACTTACGGTCACACATTGGACTGTCAGCATAAATAATGGCCAATGTGCAAGACGCACAAGCTCCAAATTGCTGTGGACAAGCAACCATATGAGCTGTGTGCTGGACATCTGCTCAGAGTTTGGCTTCTCTGCAACTGTGAAGCAGTGACATGTGCTGCTCCATAACATGGATTAAAAAATAATAGAAACATTGCTATGGTTTAGCTTGTTGATGCTAAACATGCGGCACACCAACTTGCACAGTGAGGTACACAATGACAGTATTTCTTGCATAAAAACAAATGTCTAAAACAAAAAGACTTAAAGTCATTGTGGTTTGCAAAACCACTAAAAGGCACCCATGATGTTTTGATTTTTGCCGCCTCACTTCTCTGATGTGGTGGTCTTCTCTGCGGTGTGCTGGGCGGGATCATGTTAGACACATCCCTTGTCCAAATAGTTGAAAAGTGTATATTCCTGACCAGCTGTCAACCAAGTCTGACCTTCTAAGCATGGGAATTCCATCCTGATGGAGCAGTATGCCTTAAGAGTGTTTGAATTGACACACAGACCTCCAGATGTTCTGCGAGCAGTCCTGTTCGCCTTCAAATGGCGTGCAGGTGTCTCCACATCTCCGCCCCAGCTGTTGGCATATAAGCCGCTTTTACTTCTCAAAGAATTTGGGTGTATGTTCGGACATATGGCATAACACTTTTGTCTGTTGTGACAGCCAAACATGATTCAACAGATGATTGCTGGCTCGAGATGAGTCTGTTCGGAGCAACAAAAAAACAAACAAGCAATCTGCTACGCTACTAAGAAAAGATGGTAAAATATGACATGCTTATTGAATAAAAGGCAAACAATAATATGTGATATAATAAATTGTTTCGGACTTTTGTTTGCTTAATTTATTACCAAATTTACGGCCTGCCAACCCGTTGAATGCATGCAGAGTTACAGTAAATCAGGATGACAAAGTGTTGGTATGTATTCCTCGTGCCAACCATTGAGTAAACCTTCTTTTTCGGCATGAGAGAGAAATGCTATTAATTAAACATCTTTCAACTATTCAAAGCATGGGGGGTGCTCCATGAGGGTATGACTAAAATGCAGTCACTAGAGGCACATTTTATCTCCTCATCGCAAGACCTTATTAAATCCCTATAAAACTGAAGCAATGTGGTTGATTAAAAGTTATCAACAATATATGTTAGTCAGTTTAAATTTGTAATATATCAAAGTTTTCTAGTTACATATTTTTTGTATTGTATTTTATATTATATTTATGTTGACCGGGCTTGAGTGTTTAGAACACTTCTTCTGTTCTGTTTCGGGATGAAATAAGCTCTTTTAGTCACACACAAGTTGCATATAACTATTCAGCTATTTTTTCTAGAACAATGCCAATGTTCACTTCAAATCTACATCTAACTTAATACGTTGATTGTACCATGTAATATAAATATTACCAATTGTATTTATTGTAAAAACATTAGCAAGTTACTCCCAACACTGTCAGTGAATGACATCAGGCCAAACGAGTTCAGGAGGTGAAACTGAGGGTTGGTTCCAGATGGCGACTGGGACACAGGAGTTCCCCAGGACTCTCAAACAAGGTCAACGAGATTCAGACATTTCTAAAATCATACACGGTCACTCCCTAAACACTATCACCATCTGTTTCAGTCCCCGACTTGTAATTTAATTATCCAATATCCAAAAGATCTACTACTAAATATGTGGAATGTTACCCAAAGGAGATGTTCCTGTCAGCAGCCAATCACATTTTCATTCAGTTGGCAAATGTCCTTCCCGTTCTAGAGCTGTGGAAATATTGACCTTTTCATGTTTTTGATTAGGACTCTGATAATAACCTTTGTCTTTACGAATATTCAATCATGGAGCAACCTGAGACTTCTTTCCATTGTTGCTCGCCTCGGTCTTATCACTTTCTCACAATCATCTTTTTTCTGATCAGCCAGGCCTCTGCTCTCCAGTAGACAGCCCACCCCAGTGCTTTGCAGACCGTATGCTGCTCATGACTTTTTGTTCCATCAAAATGACTTTTTTAATAGCAGTTAACTAGACTCCAGATGTTTCAGCATCTGTTCTTAGTGTGACTTTGAAGGCATACATCAGAAGAAAAAATATATTTCATAATATAGTTATGAGAAAAATATTGGGCCCAGTATAAAAAAATAGTCCATACTATTGCAATTATACAGTCAGTAAGCACCTTTATTACATTTCACGACTCGTGTCAGGTGAACAAAGGCTCTCCTCTACCGTATGCCCGCATCACACTTAAACTTAAGAAAGGCATACCACAGTGGGGCAGTTTTACTCTTGGGAACAGTACAGATCTGCTGCACAGCTGGGATTTACTGCCTTGCTCAAGGGCATAACAACAGGGATTGTTGAGGGGAAGCCTGTTTGTTCACTTCCTTGGCCCAAGTCATAAATGACCAAATAATTTGCTCTCATTACTAAGGAACCAGAAGGATCTAAGCCTTAGTGTGAGATGTTAAGTGCTTCACATAATGAATCACTTTCTACTTACAAGATCTTACCAAAATGTTTATTTCTCCATTATTAGCGTCAAGTCACATCTTGAAAGCACATTCTACTGTGTGTGCTGTTTGAGAAACTGCAAGAAAATGCATGAAGACAAGTGCTGCCCTCTTGAATTCTCTCAATTTGCTTTCTTTGTATTGTTTCTTTTCTCCATAGAGAAATATATCACAAACGCTTTACAATTGTTGGTCATTTGTCTCTCACTCCACGCAGAGATGGGAGCGGGGTCGCCGTACAGAAGGTGACCTATTGTACATGGGGAGAACATGAAAACTCCATACAGAAAGGTCTGGAGGTGGAATCAACCCCAGGACCTTCTTGCTGTGAGCACCACCGTGCTGCCTGGGACTCATCAAAATGCCCCAATAGAGCGACCTGTCAGGACCCTGCTCCAGAGGATGTGGATGCTTGTTTTGGTCAGGATCCTTCCTTTGAGGATGTATTAATTAATTAATGAATTGTTTATTTGGTTGGGACAGTGCATGTTAATGAACACGCCTCTCCGAATTGTAGCCATGGGCTACTTTGCAGCCGTTGTCCCACTTTCGCACTCACATAAACACACTCATTCACCCTGATTTGAACCCAGAACCTTTTTTCTGCGCAGTGAGAGTGCTATCCACTCAGCCACCGTGCCGTGCAGCCTGTTATTCAAACTGTTATTTGAATAACAGTTTACACTGCCACTCAGACTTGGACATAAACTAACAAAAATTACCAACATAAAAAAAAAACAAGAAAAAAAACCGAAGCCTTTGGAGCAAATACGAAAGTCTGGAATCCCCATGGTGCTATGTGCTTCTGCCATCTTTTCAAACTTATTCTCTGGTGTTAGCCAGATTTCACTTCCTGGAAAATTGGTGGTAAAATTAAATAGGGAGGAGTATTTATTGGTTCATTGGAATTGTTTTTTTTTCCCCCAGTAATCAAAAACTATTTTAGTAACCATTGAATTGTTAACAGCTCTATACACAGAATTGAACAAATATTTGTTCTGTGAGACGGGATTAAAGAGTCAAACAAAGCAGGTCTACATGAGACAATAACCAGGAATGAGTCGTTTTTAATGATACAATTGTTCTGTAAAAATACCTCAGCCTTATTCAGCTCAATCTGAGTTAGAATATAACGATGCCATTTTAAACAATACAATATTGATTAGATTACTTTTTTCCCTTTATGAACTATTGGATGGATTATTATATCTACAGTATAGAAACTAATGTTTGTATAGAAGCTTTCCAACCATATTTTAATGTAAGAGATCGTCACAGTATTTCATATCACTGTGAAATGTTTAAGTTCACTGTATAATAGCAACATTGCAGAAATAGTTCAAATTATTTTAGTAGTTAGCTTAATGTATAGTTTAGCACATCATATACCGAATTAATTTAAGTATTGCACAGGTGGGCCCTTTGCTTGAGACCAGGGCGCTTAAGTTTTATGAGTGTTTAAAGCTGGAACGTTTTGTTCGTTTCATAAATACTTTTTGTTTATAGCAACAGAAATAGTCTTGTTGCTGTCTTTTTCTTATTAGAAAACATTGTATTGGCTGAGTGAGGACTGGTACTCTTTTTCACTGAACCATAGACCAAACCACCATAGTGTTTGCCGAATGCGGAAGAAGCCAATTTGAAGTTAGCTGGAACCAATTTCCTTATTTGGGCATTTGTTCCAAATGGGGTTAGCTTCGCACCATGACGGAGGCAGACATGTTGCTAAGGTGGTTCCTAAGGCAATGAAGGCAGCGGATAAGTCATTCCTTATATGGCTCTTATCTGGATTTACAAAGACGTTATCAAAATATAAATGGCGCTAAACCACAGATATTAAAGGAAAAAATGTGGGTAACACAAACGGTTACTGAGCTAGAGGAGTTTACTTGATGAAACACGTCTTCAACCTGAGTCTCAGACTGAGGTCGGTACCACAGCTTTGGAAGTGCTCCTGTGTGGTACAACCTGTCAGGGTGGATTCTGGACTTACATCACAGACAGACCCCAGTTTGTGAGAACCAGGGACTTTGTCTCTGATGTGCTCACCTGCAGTGTGGGGTTGTGTCCTGACCACTCTCTGACATCATCGGACTCATCACAGAGGAAGACAACGCAGAGTAAAGAGGACTAACACAGGACTTTGTGGACTGGTGTCAGCGGAACCACCTGCTCATCTAGGGAGGGAGACCAAGGAGATGATGGTCCAGGGAAAGGATAGTGGACTCTTACAAGTACCTGGGTGTCCATCTGAACCACAAACTGGACTGGACTCATAACACAGATGCCCCCTTCAAGAAGGGTCAGAGCAGATGTGCAATATTGAACCACACGTGTCACTGCTACTTACTCATCTGTGCAATAATAACTTTAGTAATATCAGAAGGTGCATTATAGAACCACATGTGACACTGTTGCTCTACTTAGTCACTGTGTCCCAAAGCCTCATGCTGCTAACACAGATGTAAACATACAACTATATATTGTACTAGTACTGGAAGGACTAGTGTATTGTACTAATATACAGTACTTTGTACTTGTTTCTTATTATGCCAAAAGGTAGAGATTTTACACTTCTTTATTATGCTAATGAGGGAGATTTTATACGTGTTTCTTTTGATGCTAGAGATTTTATTTTATTTAGTATAGTTATTGTTCATTAATCTTGTGCATATGCTTCTCATTCCTACTGTTCTGTGACTGGTGATGCAACAATGAAATTCCCCCACTGTGGGATAAATAAAGGATCTCTCTCAATCTTTTCAATGTAGGTCAATAGAAGCCAGAGTAAAGTGAAACTTTGTCCATGAGCACTTCCCTCTTAGGCGTCATTGAGCAAGGAGGTAGGCATTGTCCATCTATATACAGCATAGGTTATTACATAGTCTTTATTGGTAGTTTGCCCAAGTAAGGTACTCGCACTTTAAAGACTTTTCTCTTTAATTCTGTTTACTCTGTTGTATACCTTTCCTTCACTTCAGATTTGAGTGTGGCTGCCAAGAATCCTTTGATGAAGTTGTGAGTGAAATCTCTCATAAACAACAGCAAAACCTGCAAGACAGTCTCTTCAAAGAACACATCTTCCAAAAGTTAACAAGTGCGCCTGTTGCATCCAAATGCCACATGCTCCTGTTTCTCCAACTATGTAAACTGTGGGATGTGTAATCAGAGTTGTTTAATGCAGACATCTGGCGAGGACAGCATCACAGAGATGTTAAATATTTACAGCTGCAGCCACGGTCTTTCACCTCATGAAGCGTCACCATCTGGGTTCAATACCAGGGCCATTGAGCTCCACTTTAGCTCAGGGGAAACCACAGTATCCAAAACAGCAGAGGGCATGTTGCGGACTAAAAAATGAATGGTTTCACACTTTGGGATTTTCACATTGGTGTACGTTTTAAAACATAACAGGGTTTTCAAACGGAAGACTTGTGTTTTTTTGACCCGAGTTGAAAGGCTGTGGCGACCCAGGAGGACAACAGTAGGAACGGTTGGGGTTTTGTTTGGACCTCTGTTGAGTGATTTTCACCGCGGGGGAAGATAGGAACAAGTCAAAATAAAAGTGTCAAAAATACTTTCTGACTTTAAAAAGATTATTTCCATTCCCTGGGGTGCACTATTGGACCCCAGGGAATCACATTATAATGGATTACAGCAAAAGTATCATCTACATGGAGCAATATAAACATGTACCTAATACAATTTTTACTAGACCAACTTTATAAACGAGATGTGTCCAAAAGCCCAAACTTTGATGGTAGTTGCTTCACTCTTTTTACATTGTCATCATGCAAATTATTGTCCCTTGTGTGACTTTTGTGTATTTTTATAACCTTAGCCACTTGAAAACAACGTTGTATGAAACAGTCTAGTTATATTGCGGCCTAAACTACCATTCTGTTTGGCTGTATAGGTGGGTTGAACGGCATGTTTTTGGGTGAAAAAAATCATGTTTTTGCTCAAGGGGAATTAACCTATTGAGAGAACATGGTTGAAATAATAAATGATTTAGTGAAACTACATGCATGACAAAGGAGATCAAAAGTGTCAGATGATTGATTGAAGTTATTCAGATAAAGGGAGAGTGAGGGTGAGTGAGGGTGAGTGAAGTTGCCAAAAGACACAGAGACAACACAACATTCAATAAGCCGGATGCCTGAACAGAAAACACATGTGAGACTAAAGCTGGCGCACCTCCAAGTACCAAGTGCTTCATCCAAGTCCTGATGAATTTACATCAGCCTTTGGGCGTTGCACCTGCTCGTCACCCACTCCATGTTGCCTTCACATGCTGTACGCGCTCCCCGACCTGTGCGTGACAGCTGGGAGAGCGCGTACACGCACCCACCATCTCCTCAACCTGTGTGGAAGATGCTCCAGACACATAGCAAAAGGACAAGCAGTATGAAAGACTCGCCAAAAGTAAAAGCAGATAGCATTTGGTGCGTCTTTTGAACCAAACGTCTGCGTAAAGAAGGGACTGAACATGCCATGACAGCGCACAGACGGAACCTGACACCAGCAGCTGCGGTGATGTGAAATGAACACAAGAATTCGCCGTTCCCTTTGGGAGATGGAAACAATGCACCTTTTAGAAGTGTCACTGCACGTTGTCAAGTTGTAAGTGCGTGTAGTTACCTCCTCCGGACCCCGAGCACCTGTGTCCATTGGCGCACGCAGGACCCCAAACTCTTCCAAAGGGTCTCCCAGGTCAGTCTCCTCCTCAGCTGTCAACACAGAGTCCCGCTTCTGATGTACAATTTCCCTTTTCACCTCAGAGCGTAAGTCCAAGTAGCAGACGAGCGTGACAGCGTGAAGAGCGAGCGACAGCAAAAATAATCCCAAGAAGACAAAACTACTACTACTAATACTACTGCTGCTGCTCCTACTACTACCTCTCCTGCACTCCTTGGTACACGTGCATGGATTCGCGCTGGTGGGCATCACTTTTCCCGGGAAATCCTCTAAGGAAGAACCATAACACGCCATTATCGGACAGAGCCACAGCCCAAGATGCCTTTTATCCCAACATAATCAGGAGATGTGATCGTCTCTGCCGGGCCACTGCTGCCAGTCATTTACGCGCAAGACTCGTGGGTGCAGTTGGGAGCGCGTCGGTCGTAGCCGTAACAAACTTGTGCTTGGGTGTCTGTAGTAAGAGCACGGACACGCCCCCTGCTCCTCCTGATTGGTCAGAGACAATTACGGGCGATTAATGCTGCAAGAGGATGGGACCAGGGATGCAGCGTTGGTGTGGGGAATGAGCAGCACCCACTGGATGAACTGCGTAAATGTCTTTTTGTCTGGATTTTGTCTGGCAATTGGAAACAGCTACAAGGACCCGATGAGAGGTGAATCCATTTGTCATCTTTCTGGGCAAGGGGGGGAACATGTGAGGCAGTGGAATTCAGTTCAGCACTGAGGTTATATTGGTCTACACGCGACTGGATTAACTATATAACAACGCGTATTCAGAAAGTAGCCGTGCATTTCTAAATAGTTTATCCCACATCAGAATGATAAGTCAAAACAATAATTACTTATGTCCCATGTCTCCTCTGTAGTGGCCCACCATGAGTGTGACAATGTTTAAAGCAGCCCACTAATATGATAAATGTTGAGCTTTCTGTTTAGTTATATAAATGGGGAGTGATCCGTGAGTAGCATGCCAGTGTTTAGGCTTGGGACATCCATCCTTCCACACTCTTTGTTTGGAACTTTGTTTTAATACGTGGGTGGCATTTTGAGAGGTGGTAAATATTGGAGTCATAGGTTTCAAAGTGATAGAAAAGTGTGCCATGGTATATTTTTGTTATACCGCAAGCACCTTCCTGTGTTTAATTGCATCTGGACTTGGCAAGAATTATAACAAACTCTATAAATGTCACTGAGGTCAATGGCCTTGTGTACTGCATCACATATTCAAAACACTTGTCATTGGAGCAGAGTTTAGACACATACAAACGAAATAACAAGAACATAATTAATGTGTCTTACTTTTAGTTTCATTCTATGGTGCTGATGCTTTGATCTGCGGAGCGAAAAACCAAAGCAGGAGATGGATCCGGCCGCCCTTGGATGATGAAACCGTGGACTGAGTTGGACTGAGACTTGGTTCTTGATGGATCACCGGCTGAGATTAGTTTTCAGGCAAGTGCCACAAATCATCTATCTTTGTTTCTTTGAGACAAAACGTGACATTTGTATGCGCTTGACCTTCAGAAAGCTTCATTCCTTCATGATTCAGACCGACATACAATGAGTCACTGATGCCATGTCTGTGGAAGAGAAAGGCATTCATGGAGATGAGGAAACTCCTCATTGTTTGAAGTTAATTATGAGACAAATCTTTGAATCCTGTCGATTTTCTTTTGACACAATTCCCCCCATTGCTTCTGTACACTGCATTTCACCAGAGCACTATTTTCTCAGCGCAAAAAAGTGCTTCATGTCAGCTGCCACTGAAGGGCAGCATTGCCAAGCCCTTAATCAGACCATTCCAGAACTGCACTTTATATTTATTTTGTTTTGTAAAGATAGTTTTTTTTCTCTATTTCTATTTGATCTGTATAGTGCCTCTGTGGGCTTCAGATTTCAGGCTTAGTTGCCTCCTCTTTTGTGAGGGCAGTCGATCCTCCATTGTTAAAATATAGTCTGTTTAGTTGTGGAGGGAAAGCCATTCAAAATAACCCTCACTGGCTTGTGACTGAGCGCTCAGTCTAATCATATTTGTCACACTTTTCGTCTGAGCAGCAGTGACTGTGAGAAGCTGTGAACAATATTGCAGCCGACTGGAATAGTTCTGATGAGGGATAGGCCAACTGTTCAAATTGCATGAGTTTCAGTCATTTCTCAATGTCAATGTGAAGCCTGGGGGTTTCAAATGGAGATATCGGTATTCTCGCCTGATGTGCTGGAATAAAGTTAAAGACTTAAAAGAAATACACATTGTCAGGGACTTTTAAGTTTTTTACTATTGCATGTGTGTTACCATGTTTCGCAGGTCTTGGTACGTTCTCTATTAATAAACGGGGACGTCGCTGTTTGAGGGAATCTCCAACTACAATCTGCCTCTTTCTGTCTCGCTACACAGTTATATCATTCATTCAACTATGCACACAACTGAAGGATTCCTCACTGTCTGTTTTTAATGTAAGTAAGTAAGTAAGTAGAGTTTATTTATATAGCGCATTTCACAGACCAGGGGGGACAGTGGTCTGTTAGTAAAGCATTGGCCTTTGGGCATGAAGGTCGTGAGTTCGAGCCCACCGTAAGACCTACTTCACGACTCCCACTGATGTCTGCTGTCGTTGTGTCCTTGGGCAAGACACTTAACTCCAATTTGCCTGAAGCTCCCACTGAAAGATTTCAGCTCCTGTGGACTCACTCACCACCTGCAGAAGGATCAGTGAGGGATTGGTGCTAAGTGTACTGGGTGCAGCTCTGACTGCCACCCCCCCGACCCAGAAATGGAACAAGGGGAAGAAGATGGATGGATTTCACAGACCAGGATCACCAAGCGCTTCACACATTTAAACACATAAAATACACATACAAGTCAGATTTAAAGGTACACTGTGTAATATTTAGTGCCATCTAGCGTTGAGATCTTATATTGCAGTTTATTAAAGTACGGAAGCCTTTGAGTTGAGGAGTACTGTCAAAGACAGAGCTCCACGCGGCACCCTACACAGAGACTCTACTGAGTTTTACCATGGATCTGTTATAATATATAGTTTTACAAACGCGGTGTGAAGAGAAGAGACACATGGAGGAATAACGTCTGTGAGAGCTTAAAACTACAATGATCAAAGAAGCAGGAGATATACACACCCGTGACAGGACATGGCTAAAAGCTCATGTTAGCATTAGCATTAGCCACAGCGCCCTATCTGCATCACGGTAAGAAACAGAACCTTCACTCACGTTGCTGATAAAGTATTCTGTGATTTTTTTGTTGGGATTCTGTGTGTTTTATTTGAGGCTCGTCCCTGAATAAGTTTAGTTGAAACTTGTGACATAGTAGTTGGACTGCGCTCGGATCGGGTCAGAACATCCTGAGACTGTGTTGTAGAGTCTGCCTCGTTCTCTTTATTGTCAGTGTAAAAAAGTTACGTATTGTTCACGTGTGAGTCTGTTGTGTACAAACTACATGATGTGCCTCCTGTTGTGTTAACACTGTCTTTCAGTGCGTGTGGTTTGCGATGTTGACACTTTGCTGCTATGATGCCGGACTTCTGCAGAATTATTTTTGGTTCTTTTACATAACTGTGGTCCTCCATGGTTCCTTCTTCCAGCTCGCGAAGGCACGGTGAAAGCAACGATATCAGTAGCTCATGTGAAATGAAAACGCAATTCTCGCATCCTTTTTGTCCCTTATCCACCACTGTATTTCAAGATGGCGCATATTCACCGAGAGCAAGCTCTCATGGACACTTATGTATGAATTACATTCTAAGCCTATGAATACAATCAAAAAACATGGTGGAGGTAAATATTCTTAAAAAAGTCACATTTGTTATTAGTTAACATGTTTTTCATATGGAGCAGCTGTAAGAATTACACAGGGTGGCTTTAAAACAAAAAAAAGTATAGTGATTATGATATGAAGGCCTTCTATGATTGTTTTGCATCTTGTTTTGTTGATCACTTTGAGTTGAGCACTTCGTGTGTATGAACTGTAGGGGTGGGCAAAATATATCGTAGACAATAATAAAGTCAATTTGAAGATATGTTTTTTTGTATTATCGTCCTTTTTCTTACATATAATAATTAGAGAAGGACAGATGCCCATTTGGTCTAATGTGTGCCTAAAAAGCCAATCACTGCTTTATTTGTACATTTCAGTAAATATTGAGCCTTTTTGGATGTGTTCTTTCTGTGTTGCTTGAATTAGATTTTTAATGTTAATATATGTTAGTGCATGTTTTGCAAAGAAGTGTGGAGCTTCTATTTAGATCTACACTGTCTCTATCTATAGATGTCCTGGCAGCAAAACATTACAGATCATTTTGTGTAAAAATGATTGATTTTAACGTTATCGTGAGTTAGAAAAAAAAAATTGAGATATTTATTTTTGTCCACATCGCCCACCCCTAATGAACTGTGCTATACAAATAAGCCTGCCTTGCCTTGCCAGTTTTATCAGCCACCTCTGCCCAGCGTCTTGTTGTTTTAAAACAAGCCAAACAACTTTTAAGCCCGACATAATTGAAACTGCGATTGTTTATTTGGCATTAAAGAAAAATCTGAATAATTCATATAGCATTCCCTGGGCTTCAATACAGCATCCATAAATGGTGTGCCACTCTATCCTCTCTGAGCTTATAACAAGATTTACAAGCTTTGGCTGCCAGATGATAGATTTTTGCAGGAGGCTTGCATGTATTTTAGCTGACTTAAGTTGACTGGTGGGCTGTTGCCTCTGAGACTCGCTGCGTCCACAGATAGTTGAGGAATCTAAACCCAGCTCCGAAACGTTCTAGAGCAGGCATGTCAACCTCAGGCCCTGGAGCCAAATCTGGCCCACAAGACCAATTTTACTGGCCCCTGAAATGATTTTTCAGGGGCCACATTATTACATTAACTTTGTAATTGTATGAAAATGGGCTACTATGGCATCAGGAAAACAACTATATCATTGATCCTGTTCTAAAATGTAATGTTATTGGAAGTTAAAGTGATTGTCTGGAGTTTGTCAGAAAGAGAGACAGAGAGGTGCTTGATTTGAAAAAAAACGACGCAAGCTCCTCCCCCTTCCTTTCTGATTGGTCTACACCTACGTTTCCGTAACACATTGAAATGTTAAGCAGAGAACACATTATACAGTACAAATACATTATTAATACACATGCACGGAGGCTTTCAGAATTATTTGTCAACGTTTTAATGAAAAAAAGAATGTTTTTATGCACAAAAAAAGTGATCGTGGCAAACCCGGAACAAGCTATTATCATGAACTGCACATTATAGAACACATCTGCAGAGGATCTGATTATGGATATAGGTTCAGTATATAAATGATTATGGATATAGGTTCAGTATATAAATGATTATGGATATAGGTTCAGTATATAAATGATTATGGATATAGGTTCAGTATATACATAAGTACCTCAGCGCGGATGTTCAGAATTCTTTGTTCAGTTTTCATGTAGTTCCAGAGCCTAATAGAGGCTTGATTCGGAGGCTCCGCAAAAACAAACAACTGAGCATGCGCACAGCTGCGATCATCAGTGCCGATGATTGACAGCCCTTGGCATGACTCGATTGGTTAACCTCGACGGCACCGTGGATTCTGAACTATAGCTAAGAGCAGGTAAGGCGGGACTTGCCTGTAATATTAGAATTAATAAAATGACTTAAAAATTGTAATTAATTTAGAGGTACAGACTATCACTTTAAGTTAAGAAATTATTAAACTATCAGTCTGTAATACATTTCTTCTCAAAATGTGTCCTTTTTGTGGTTGAATCTAGCCTGGCCTTAGCCATCCGTAAACTCCGGTCTAGTCCCAGTGTCTGCAATTACATCGGTTGTATCCCATCCGACAAATCAGCGAGCACGGGAGTCGGGTGTTGTGATGTTGGTGATGTCAAGAGTTTGCGGCGAATTGGCAGGTTGCAGTTTGGCAATGGCAAAGAATGCGATAGTAAAGTAATCCGTTCTGGTTCTATCAAGTAATTGAAGCCGGAGCAAGAGGAATGTTCAGCAAATGTAATTGCTGGCAAAGAGTGTGGCGCTACTCCCCATGGGCTCCGTTAGCGGCAAAGGAGATGGCTAGGCTAAATGCTAAATGCTAGTGACTTACTCAGGCGCATTACATATGTCACGGTAAACTCAGATCCAATCAACCAGGCTAGGTTGAATCCAAACTTACCAGAAAACAATTATACAGAGTCATGTTGAATAATACTTTTGGCCCCAATGTAAGGCCCCAGCTCTTACATTTTATATCTGGCCCCTGACCAAAATGAGTTCGACACCTCTGCTGTTCTAGATGCTAATTCATTTTTATTTTCGGCCCCTCCCGCCTTGACTTTGAAAAGGATATTCACCGCAATATTAATTGAGAGTGCAGCAGTACTGTACATCACAGTCATTTATGGCCCTCTCATTGCCGTTTTTGTTTATGACAAGTTTTATTGTTTTTGTGCTCCTAATAGCAGAGGTGTAACCCTGGCCAATTGATAAACGGTGGCATTTGATTTGCTTCCTATAAATCTTGGACTGCAGCTATAATTTCCAAGAACAAAGATGAATTGGCTTCCATTAGGGCGTCTGTCTGTGTGTCTTCA